GTACCAAATCATTGTTCTTTGTTCTTTAATTGTGAAGATACTAGTCAAAACTTGAATAAAATTTGAAGAATTATGGAGTAGATTACTAATTGATTTAGAATTTCCAAAGTTCACACAAATGATGTTTCTAGTGGTATAGTACATGGCCCTCCTAGACTTTCTGATTTAAGTAGAATTCTTCACATATGTTCTAGTACTCACTGACTTTGAGTTAGCCTCCTAAAAAATAAGGTTGGACCACGCAGTGTGTTATGGCCAAATGGGTTGTAGGAGATATTCCATAATAGTATAGAATTTTTGTAGTGTTTTAGATATTTAGGTAGAGAAAGAATTATTGTTAACATATACTTCCCTCAATTGGAAAAGAGATGTCTATAAATAAGGAAGTGTCATTTATAAACTCTAACACTCAAACAATCTTTTATAATAACTTTAACTACTTTATTTTTGTCAAATTTTTATTCTACAACGAGATGCTTCATTTTCCAGAGAATAACTCAGTATTACTCATTTTTATGTTAAAATCTGATTTAATTGGATATCTAAAAGTTAATAAAACTTTTTGTTCAACTATATTGAGTGTAATGTAATTCATAATCTATTGTAAAAAGTTTATAACTTTTAGTTTTTTCTCCTTTTATCGAGTCTGTATTTGTTTTCGAATATTATTGTCAAGTGAAACTTGAATATCACAATAGTATTTCCTAATACTAGGTGGATTCTCTTTATATTCGAATTTTATTTTCAAACTGTTTTATAAATTTTATACACTTTATTTACTTAATTCCTAAAACGATTTTGCTGTTCAAATTTGTGTGCAATATAATTTTTTTTTTTTTAAATGGTCGCGAGTGAAAAACACACCTATAATATGCGTATAGAGTGTATAAGCCCTATACATTCTATGATTCTAAAAGGTCTCAAACATTTAATTTTGAAACAAATAAAGAAGTGAATGTTGAAAAGACTAAAGTATCCCTCTATAACTGAATAAAAATAAGTAAAAAATTAATTAAATGTGAAATGACTAACTGTGGAACTTGGCACCTTCATTTTTATTTTTTATTTTTTATTTTTTCACACTTGGTGGTACTTACCCTTTTCAATGATATTCCATAACCATTGACACATAAAGGGAAAAAAATCAAAGTGTAATAATATTTATGCATAGATAATTATTTTCATTTGATTGAATGATAGTTTCGTTACTATACATGTACATCACGTAGAAATAAGGTTTAAGCATATGTTTCTCTCTTACGTGTGCACTAAGAAGGGTTTATCACGGTTAATTACCAATTTTTAAGTTACATGCTCACATTTGCAAATTAAATGGTTGGTGCAAATTTTGTCATAGTATGTATGGAAATGGAGGAATGATTTGCTCTTTAATGGGAATGAGTGGTCTGGAGTTGAGATTGTGACACGGGCCTCAAGTCAATTCTATGAATTTGAGAATTGCTCAAGGTCAGCGAGAACATGCAAAATGGATCGTATCTATACAGTGACGATGAGTAGTCGCAAGAAACAACAAAGAAGGCTCAACGTTTCACTTTGAATAGGGTCTGCTACAAGGTATTATGTTATTAGTCATGTTCAAATGGAAGGCTACAATGGAAGGCTCCTCGAAGGGATCTAGTAAGAATATTACTGCACATTGGAGATTTTTTGCAAGACGACTAACAGATAAAAGGTTAACCCGAATAGGGTCGTTCTTGAGTCCAACTCATACGTTTTTGAGTCATCTTTCTAATAGTATAGGTTCCATCCCATAATTTTGACATGAAACGATCATTTTACCACTGTCAACTAGACTGCTACCAAAAAAAAAAAGGTAGACATACCTGGTTTTCTTGACTCAGGGATTTCCTTAGTATTTCACTGAATCATTGGGGTGAGTGAGAATAATCTTTTGTGGGTTGTTGATTTTATTCTGATATTTTAGCCAGTGGCAAAATGACTTGTAATAATTTTATGTCCATAAAAAAAGTTGTTCTTGTCAAAGAGAATAACTTATTTGTTGCCTTTGGGAGAACTAAATTTTGTATTTGAGATGAGAGGAAATTTAGTACAAGTTCTGAATTAAATTTCCTCCATTCCCAAATTCAAGCCGCTAATTCGATGCTCCCAAGTCTAACATTTGTAAGTTTGTCGGGAAATGATGAAACAAGGGATTTGAGAATAGCCTACAAAGTGAGACTGGGTTTGAAACCATGAATCCTTGAATTTGAGTCACCATCACTGCCTACCAAGAACAAACAGCTCTGTCATATAGTTCTCCCCGCAAACAACGAAGTCAAATACTAATCACATACACATTCTTTATCTCTCGAAAACTTTTGTAAAGAAAAATTATGACGTCCCATATTCTGTGAGTGGTTGTTTTGAGGTTTGACGACAATGTGTTTGACACTTTTTGATTGTATAAACACATATTTGGAAAATTTGTGAACCTTGAATGAAAGATAATATAGTGTAAGCGAACAATATCTGCACGGTATGAACATGTTAAAGGGAGAGGACTTACTCTTCCGTGTTAGTGTTAATACCTAAAATTATGGTCGAAAATTATCACGTGGTCAAAAATCCGGAGGTCTGAACTCTGGCTCGGTCCATGATCGTTGGTGTGAAAAATTAATTTCTAATCATTGTGGTCGGAAGTAAGGCCGAGAATGTCACACCCCAAATTTTTTTAAACAAGAACCCTTTGTTCCGTATATAAAATTAGAGTACAACTTATAAAAAATCTCAACAATCATCCACCTTAACTAATAAATCAAGCTAAAACTCCATCAACAGTTTATTACATAGATACTTCCGAGATAATAATAACATCATCTAAATTAATCCAAGTTCACTGAACCGACTAAATACGGTTCCACAAAAATAACATAATCCTTATTACAATGATCATAATAGGGAAAACTAAGTTAAAACAAATCAATGCGCAACGAGCTAATATTCATCCGTCATATGATCCCATCACTTTCCTACTCAACTTGTAGTAATACTTCCCAGATGATCTCGGATCACGTCCACACAATAAGAACACATTAAACCCATGGCCATAATAAAAGTGTAGTGTACTCACAAATAGGCAGGTTCCTGACCATACTCAAAAGTCATCTTAGGATCATTCTCTAACTACCCTTTCGACTAATCCAAACTCATCCATTAATTAGTAATTATGGTAGTTTATGAAAGACATTATTAATTAATAATTAATACACCCAAATATATTTTTAATTTAAAAACAACACCCTAAAGACCCAACTAGTGAGAGTAAAAAAATTTTGGACATAGCCTAACATTAGATATATGACCCTGCAAAATTTCAGAATCTAATTCTTAATAGTTTTTCCGTACTCTCCATTTTAGTGCTGAATATAATACTTTTTTGGATTTTAATTTAGTAAAACTACCTAAAAATAATCTAAACCTAAATATTTCAACACAAACAGGTAATATATGATAAAATATGATATTCCGGAAAATATCATAATTTTTGAAACATTTATTATATATTTTTTTCTAATTTAAAACTAATAAGAAATAATAATTTAAATACAATTTAACAGTGAGGCCCAACAAATTGGGCCTGGTGAGTGGACTTGGTTGACTAAAATCAGATTCTAAATGGGCCTGAACTAGCCCGCACTCTCCCACACATGCCAAGCCCGAGAGTGGCATTGCAGCCAAAATTCCATCTTTCTCCTTCATTCTAGCTTACACCAAATCCTACCAGCAACCACAATTCATTCTAACTTCAAAATGACGCAAAGATCTATATTAAAACTAATTAACTTCATGGACTTTGTTTCTGTTTACTGCGTAATACTATATTCCTCTTTAATTTCAATTCAATCTATGTGTAAATAAATACAAGGGTTAAGTGCAAAATATCCTCATGATATATAGGGTTATATATAGGGTTTGTATATAACTAGTCCTTACTTTTTGAAAATGTGCATTTTAGTTCATAAAATTAAAAAAAGATGCAAATAAGCCCTCTGACCACTTTTTGGTAAAAATTGAAATAAAATAAATTCAAAAACCCTATTTTCCCCTTTCCTTTTCCTATTCCACCCTTCTCTCCTATCTTCCACCACCACCACCATCCCCAACCCCACCATCACCACCACCACCACTCCTATATATTTCTCGCTTCTCTTAATGGTATATTCAAATACTATGATTGAAACCCTAGACCGACAACATTTTTTGATCTCAAATCTTCCAAAATATATATCCCTCTCAACTGTGTGCCCTTTCGACCACTTTAGACCACTGCCATCTTCTTGTATATGCCATCCTCACCCTAATTCTCTCCTTCTGTTTTGTGGTTTGTGTCCATGGCCGTGATACAATGCAATCTGTGACCCACATGAATGGGTCATGTTCTTTCTATAGATAAGAGAAGACTCATAACAACAAAAAATATATATATCAAATATTCAAGAAATATATATATATATATATATATATATATATATATATATATATATCAAACACAAAGCACCCAGCAAATTGATCAAACTCAAAAAAATAACAAATTATCATACCCAAAGCATACCAAAAAATCATAATTTTTAGCTCTAAAATCCCCTCATCCATTTTGTTCTCTCTGTAAAATCCCTCATTTTCCATTGCTGAGGAAGAGTTACAGAGGTCGCCGTATTGTCACCGTCGTTGAGCCACAGATTAGGCTCCGACGATGACAACTTGCAGTGGGGATGGCACGCCGGTGATGCGTTTTCGACGTCGATGGTTGCCAACAAACTCTCTGGTTAATACCCATCTCGCATCGTCTCCATACTCCTCTGCCATAACAAATCACAGCCCATCCCCATTCCCCACTTAGCTAACTCCCAAAAGCTCAAGATTGATTGTCCAATTTCCTCTCTGAGGTCAGGAACAAAGGAGAGGGTTCGGCTACTCCCTTCCCTTCGAATTAGGCGTCAGATGGATTCTTGGAAGCCCTGCGAATGTGGATGGAAGTACTACCACGGGACTGTTCTTATAACTTCAACTTCAGCACTAGAAGCGGAGGGTTCAAGTTCAAGGCTTAAAGCCGGTTCCCCACTGGAATTTAGCTCTGGTGTTCCTACCTCGGCTGTCAATCAGCCAAATAAAAAATAAAAAATAAAAAATAAAAAATAAAAAATAAAAAATAAAAATAAAAATAAAATGTCTAAAATGGTAATTTTACATTGCCTATTTTTTTTTTTTTAATATTATTTCATTTATATTAGAGAGGGTATTAATGTCTTTTTATGCGAACAGGGGGCTAATTGCACCAAATTGATAGTATAGGAAAGTTTTATACCACACAATGACTGTTTTGCACTATATTGATAGTAGAATGGGATTTTTTGCACTTAACCCTAAATACAAATGCAATAACATCTTTAAATGTTTATAATTTTTTCCTATATACATACATACATACATACATATGTATATATATACATAGAGTCCTGATCTCTTGCTCCCCATGGAGCAAGAAAAATAATCCACACTTTTTATATAGACCGTTAGATTAAATCTAACGGTCATTTTACAAACCCACTTATGGCATTTCCTTTTAAACCAAAACCACTCTCACACTATTTTTAGTTTCTATAATTAATTTTACCATTACCACCTACTCTAACAATAAAAGGTAATTATCAAATTAAAAATAGAAAGCTTTGAAAAAAAATTAATACCGTATATTTTACTAATAAATTTGTTTTTATAAATATCTTTTGGCTTTCACCTCTATTTTTCACGATTATGTCAAACAAACAAAGAAGAATTACCACCTACTCTAACAATAAAAGGTAATTATCAAATTAAAAATAGAAAGCTTTGAAAAAAAATTAATACCCGTATATTTTACTAAGAAACATCTTTACTGCAAATATACTGCAATGTTGTATTTTGGAGCATGAATTGATTAATTGGAATTGAAATTTAAGAAAATTTCATTTAAAATTTGAATAAAAGTTCTTTCTATTCAATTTGAAGATAGACATTTGGTGAAATTCATTATTCAATATGTGAGTTTGATTATTAAATGATGATGATGTACGGACTATGTTATAGTTATTTGTGCATGTGAATAACAATATTATATAACTGAATAATGGAATAAGATGACATTGGTTTTATTCAAAATTGTTAAAGCTTAAACTAAATAAAACAAAAACAAAAATTTTAATCTCTTCATAAAGGGCTGAAACTTAACAAAATTTAAAAACATTTAATCCCCAAAGTCTTAAAGTAAACTCTTCCATGACAAATAAAAGTAAAGCCAAATAATAGACATTTAGGCCTCAAAACCTAGAAACTCCAGTCCATCTGTTTGCTCTTCCTCATATTTTCAAAATTAATGAAATATCTCTCCACTTCGTGTAAACCTGAATAAAAAAAAAATTCAACAACAAATTAATAATTAAGCATATATATATTGACTTAGATGAAATAAACGGAATTATTATTGCCAATAAAGCAAATAAAAAAATTTACAAAATAATGAAAAAAGTTCAAATTCAAACCTTGAACACATTCAATTACATCCATCATCCATATGTTCTGACCCATAAGAAATATTCTCCTCATTGTTTATAGTAGACCTGAAACAGAGAAAAAAAATGCATGTGAAACACTAATTAATTTCATAATTAAGTAATAATAATAAGCATGAGATAATGCTCACTTGTTAATAAGCGTTGGACAATTTCTTTTGTCATGTGACTGTCCAAGTTCTCCACAACCACGACAACGTCTACGATTTGTCTTTTTAGTCTCTCTCCATGACCTCAAACGTTTACCGCATCCTTTTGCTCTATCTTGAAGAGGATCATTAAAGGTTTGTTGTAGATGAATGTCATATTGCTTTTCTAATGATGAAGCATTTTTTCCTCCAATTTTACTTGCATTCATGGCTTTCAGTTGTTCATGAAATGTGTCCAGCGTGTTTATTAACAGTTCCGTACCTTCTTCTGAGAATGCAGCTTCATCAATTACAGCTGATGCAAGTTGAGATACCTTAGTACGTCTCACTAAAACCGACTTATCTTGTGCATCTTTAATCTCTAAACCATCTTTACCAGTAATGCTTCCAACTCTTGCAAACTTTGTCCATCTATTCTTAATATATTGCTCTGGCAAAAATACAACTTGCTTTATTCTAAAAAATGCTAGAATATGCTTGCATGGGATGCCTTCAAATTCAAAACGTTGACAATTGCACTTGACATTATCAATTAGCTTATCGTGCACAAGTTGTCGAACTTTAAGATCTCCATAAAGCACCCTATTGACCTCATAAACACATTGACTTTCATCATCCAATATAATATTTAATACATAAGCATTACTAGCATAAAGCTCTTTCTGAAATTTATGAAAGTATTCCTTTGTAAACATACCCATCATTTGCTTCTCCATAGGCACCATGGATTTCAAGTTTGGCTGTTCATTAATATCAGCATGATCATCAATCACCTCTTCATGTCGTAGATGTCCAACTGCCCTGTTAAATCCTATAATAAAATCCATTAAAGAATTGTCCTTACAGCAATACCTCTTGAAGAATGCATGGGAACTTTCAGCTCTTTGACTGCTTGTCATACCAGCAGAGAAGAATTTATTGGTAAATGCTGGAACCCACTTATGACGCAATGTATACATTGTTCTTAACCATTCATTATTTTGTTGTTTACTTTTTTCAAGCGCGTGGTTCCAACTTTCTTCAAACTCTTCTATTGTATCTGAATTCCATAAAGATGATTTAAAAAGGTCATAGTAATCTCGAAATACAACTGAGTCCAATTTTTCTACAAATTTTTTTGAGATGTGCCAAATACAATACCGATGAAATGTGTCTGGAAGAAATTGAGCTATAGCCTTTGTCATTGCAGGATCCTGGTCAGTAATAATAACTTTTGGAGGACCCTTTGGCATTGCATTAAGCCAAGTCTTAAATAGCCAAATGAAAGACTCAGTGGTCTCGTCATTTAAAAAGGCACATCCAAAAATGATTGTTTTTCCATGGTGGTTAACCCCTGTAAGTGGAGCAAATATCATCCCATAACGGTTAGTGTTGTATGTTGTGTCAAACACAACCACATCATTAAAAAAATTGTATGCTCTCCTTGCACTGAAGTCAACCCAAAAACACCTAGTCATTCTATCATCCTCATCTTTGTCAATTTGAAAAACAAAATTTGGATCCTTTTCTTGTTTTGATAAGAAATATTCATTCAACATATTTGCATCGTGACCTTTAAACTTCTCCCTCATATCTCGTTCATAATTTCGAAGATCTCTTTCTGTACACCCAACATTTTCAATACCCCCTACTTGCGTCTCTAAGATATCAAATTGTTGACACGTAGGCACATTTACACTTGCAAATTGTTGAGCCAGTTGTTTCTTCACATTTGAAACATTTCGATGTGACCTCAATAAGTGTATTTTTCTTGGAGTTGCAAGAGGATGATTGTGGCTCTCAATGAATTGTCTGATTGTATAATTCCCGTCACGTCTTCCTACACTTAACCTTGCTTTACAACCTTCGCGTACATTTCCTCGTTGTCTTTCTAATTTCTTACCACCATCTCCAATGGTCTCCACCATCTGCTTTTCTTTTTTCTTTGTTCTTCTATAAGTTTCATCTGTTTCTCCTTCTTTATAACAAACATATTGTTTCCAAATCGTTTCACCAGTTTCTTTATGCTTCTTACTCTTATCAATCCGTACACTGAAACCAGCTTCTCGTGCATACTTGTTATAAAAATCATAAGCATCATCTAAAGATTTAAACTGTTGCCCTTCTTTTGGTTTTCTTTCATAAGTAACTTGTGGAATGAATGTTCCATCTTTTTGTGTTATTCCAAATTCTTCTACTTCATTCATTCCTAAAAAGAAATATGGAATTTAAATATTGTTATATTTGAATAAAACACAATGCATTAATCAACTAAAATTAATTAAGACATAGTTCTATAAATTAAATTAATGGACAGTCCTATGTAACAATCATTCTTGAACACATTTAGTAATACAAAATGTGGATTAGTAATATATTTGAATCAATTAAAATTAATGAAACAAGATTTTTACTTTATGTATTGAATTAGTGATTTATAAAACTGGGCAAAGGAGGCTGAAGAATGGTAATTAGAATAAGGAACCACACAGAACTTAAAGATTTAAAGGGAAAACAAATTTACTTTTTCAAAACAAAATAAATAAAGAAGAGGAAACAGAAAAATTGTATAGTACCTTAGCCTGCGATTACCGCCTAATCCCTATCAATTCTCTTGTAATTCTTCTTTGTTTGTTTGACATAATCGTGAAAAATAGAGGTGAAAGCCAAAAGATATTTATAAAAACAAATTTATTAGTAAAATATACGGTATTAATTTTTTTTCAAAGCTTTCTATTTTTAATTTGATAACTACCTTTTATTGTTAGAGTACGTGGTAATGGTAAAATAGTGTGAGAGTGGTTTTGGTTTAAAAGGAAAGGCCATAAGTGGGTTTGTAAAATGACCGTTAGATTTAATCTAACGGTCTATATAAAAAGTGTGGATTATTTTTCTTGCTCCATGGGGAGCAAGAGATCAGGACTCTATATACATATATACAAATAAAAACATGACAAAACAATTCCATATGTCATCATATATCATTAACTTACACCATACACACACACTCATGTGAACACGTCTGACACATATGACCTCCATAACCCATAATGAGAGTTACAACAATACTGACCACAACCATTTACGGAGTTCTGAAAAATGCTCCCACCTCTCTCTAACTTTCTCTCTCTAACCCAGCCTTCATCTCCTTCCTTCAGTTGCTCCCTGCTCCTTTCCATGGGAGTGGGGAGGTGATAAACTCGGCGTGTTTCAATAATTGTGCTTGGTGGGTATTTTTTTACGCCGTTTTTGGTTTTGTTCGGCTAAATCCGCTCATGTTTGGTTTGTTTTTGGCCTACATGAGATCTCTGATCTAAGTCGGTTTTGGGTTTTTCCTTGCCTATATTAGATCATTTTCTCTTTGATTTGATCTTGTGCAGGGTTTTGTATGTCGGAACGCCTTGTGACTGTAGCTTTGGAGAGGTTGCCGTGATAATGGCCAAACTTTTGGGTCTCTCCTGTTTGCTGCATTCTCTCATGGTGGTTCCGTTTGTAGAGTTTTGTACTCTGTTTCCTCCCCAAATCTAGAGCTTATTCTTTATTTTTTATCTATGCTTCAAGATTTGTATGCCTCTTCTAGTTTGGCTTTATGTCGCTATACTGCCGCTTTGGCTTGGCCTTTGAATGACCAACCAAAAAAAAAAATTGGCCACATTGATTCCAGACTCACCCATATAAAATACAAATAAACTATCACGAAATAATATTCTAAAAGTTTAATTGCTAAAGTTCAAACAACTCATTAAGCATGATGTACTAATCTATTCTTAATTAGCATCTCATTAAAATAACATTAATCGCATGCCATATTGTGTTAGCAGAACACTTAATAAACGAAGTCATCAATATATACAAGTACACAAAGTAATATTAACTTGTTAAATATCACTAATTCTTCCTTTCTAAACAAATTTTCGGTTGCCGTCCTTTTTCCTGACTACTACAGAAAAGCACAACGTTAGATCTTTACTCTCTCAACAGGTTTCCTTCCCTCACGATGTATAGTGCTATCCTTTTTTATAAAATAAAGCAGTGATAGAGTTATAGAGATATAGGGAGTCAGGTGAGATAATTAAGTGATTTTTATTTTAAATTTAAATTACTTATAAACTAGAACTATCTCAATATCTCGTTTAAATTCAAACGAAGATATCAATTTAATTATATATATATATATATATATATATATATGGGTGTTACAGAGAATCACTAAGGATGGAATTCCGAGGTCATTAAGACTGAGATAAGATATTAAGAAGCTCGACCAACCATGGTCGAGAGTCTCGAGCAAAGTCTCTCAGTCACTATGGTCATAATCAGGAGTCTCAGTCACTATTGTCACGATCAAGAGTCTCAGTCACTATGGTCATGATCAGGAGTCTCAGTCACTGTGGTTATGACCTAGAAAAGTATTTCAGTCACTGTGGTCATGATTAGAAGTCTTAGTCACTATGGTCATGATCAGGAGTCTCAGTCATTATTGCCATGATCAGGGGTTTCAATCAGTATGGCCATGATCGGAGTTTCAGTCACTAAGGTCATGATTAAGAGTCTCGACCAAAGTTTTTCAGTCATCATGACCTAAAAAAGTATCTCGACCAATGATCGACAGTATGCCTAATTGATGGACAAGTTCAGACTAAGATGGATCTAATATCTCTTCGGGTCATAATCACTTGAAGAATATTTAGTGTAATTCAAATGAAGACCAACTGTGAATCCCAATGTCTCAAGAACCCAACAAATCACGTTTGTAAACTTAAAGAAAGCTTGAAATGAAAAAGGACAACTTAACCATGTTTAAGGTCCATAAATTCATAACTACAAATGGAAGGTTCTCCCCTAGCCCAAGTTTAGATCAAGACAGGCATGGCAGGGCAGAGAGCTGAAATAGACTGAAGACCAGATTCATCAAACATGAAAGAGGATGCATCCTTTAGTCAAAAATGGTATGCCACGCAAATTTGTATCTGCCTATGGAGTGTGCAAGTCAGTTAACCAGACCAGCTCATCAAGATGGTTAGGAGAAGTCATTACCAACTTGCAACCAATTAATTTCTAGAAAAACGGATTGAAAGGGATAACACCAGGTTGAAGCCTCTTAAATACCCACTCAAGCCTCACATTGAAGAGGTCTAACACCATTTCTAAAGTTTAAGTCTTTAACATTCATATCACTTAGCAGTTAACTTTTATTTTATCAAGTTTAGTTATCACTATCAGTTTAGTATTTATTTCATCTTTCAGCATTTAATACTTTAGTTTCCATTTCAATCAAGAGTTTGTAATTCATTCATCATTATAATCAATCCAAAGTTCAATGAAGAAAGGTTTGCAGATTCAGGTATATTTATTGTTCAATTAATTTGCTTCAGATTGCTATCTATCTTGAATGGTTAAAGTCCTTTCTTAAAGGCAATAGCAACCTTAAGGAGATGGTCATTCCTACTTTCTAACTTTCGCCTGAATCACATTAGGTCGATGACCCGCCCCAATAGGAATAGTTTGGCAAGATATCTTTGAATCCATCAGGATTCTAGCACGCCCACGTTTCAAGTCAGCTATTCATTGGCCAACGACCTTAGACCACTTTGTGAGCGGGAGAAGATAAAGTTTTAAATTACTACGTATTTTAATTTTATGCTCGAGGAAAGTGCCGCTTATTAAATTCTTATGGGTCTATCTCACCGACTCAAATATTTAAATCACATCTTGATAAATGAGAACAATATTATATGAAGGGAAATAATGGGATTGTTCGTACTAAAGGTTTAGTTTGTTTGGATCTAAAATATTTTTTAATTAGTGATACTCGCACCGAACACTTTTGGTGAATTGTTTAATAAAATAATTTTTAGTTGACTATTTATACCAAATACAACTAAGTGAAAGGCTCCACTTCCTTATTCGTTGCATAATTGACCAATTAAAAGAATAGATCTAACAATTTACTATAACTATTCCGTGTAAGAATCATTTTCCTTTTTTAATATATATACCAAAGGGCTTGTGGCTCAGTGATATCCCGACATAAACATTTGTCAAACACCATAAACTAAAAATAAAAAAATATTTTACTTAAAAAAAATATATATTTTACAGCCTAAATGTTCAGTATTTATTATATCATAATTTTATTGAGGATGGAGAGAGAGTGAGAGAAATCTGACCATAATTTGGTGATACAAGGAAAATATATATATACACACATTGCTATTTAGTAATGGATAGAGACAGAAATTTAGCTGCATAACTTTCAGTTTTATATTCATTACAAATAATTTCAGATCTACATACTCCACTAAAAAAAAAAAAACATTATATACAATTTAATTCATCACTGTTTTAAGATCTGAATATTAAAAATGATTTAAGACTGACACCTGATAGGTTTCTACAAGGTTAAAACCATTTTAGTAAAAAAAAAAATTAATGTGATGAAATGCGCATGGAACGATGGTGTGATGTTAAACTATTGATAGAATTTGAACATTAATGGCGAAAAGTAACCACAACCTATCCAATACCAAATTGTCCATTTTTGCTATTCCAACATTCCTTCGTGAACTTCCTGCATAAGTTTCGACTAAATTACTTTCACGTAAATTCTGTTCTTATAGTTCTTATAAATTTGATCGAGTATATCAGTATTGTAGATTTTTTCTAAATTTTCAGTTGAAAGAACGATGAAACGAGGTCATGATAGACTTGCTCTTAAAATGCATGTGATAAATACCTGAAACAAGGAGAAATTATTAATTGTTTTCTTCTATACCATGAGATTGAAAAACTTTAATGCACTAAAAATACCGATTACATGATATTACCCGGTAATTAAGTATAAGAAACTTGGTGATCTAAACTTAGGGGTGACATTTTATAGTGATCTAAACTTAGGGGTGACAATTTAAGTCTAAACCTATTAAACCGTCCAAACTCGTTATTAAAATTAAATTATTTGGTAGCCAAATTTAAGTGAGTGGGTCAATGATGAGTAAAAAATGAGTACCCATTTAATTCAAGAATCAATGATGGATTAAAAGTGGATATCTATCTTAACCCCTCAAACAAAATCCTATTTTTTTCATTTTTTTTATCTCTCTCCTCTCATTTTTATGTCATTAAAAATAATAATAATAATAATAATAATAATAATTAAATTAATAGTAATAATATTATTAGAAGGGTAGGTGTTCTCCCTTTTTTTCTCTCTCCTCCTATTTACTCTTTTCTCCATTTCTCTCTCCTCCGTTTTTTTTTATTTTTTTTATTATTATTATTTTTTTTTTAAGGCTGTGATAACTTTCAAAATAAGTTGTATAATAATAAAAAAAAAATAAAAGGAAAAAAAAATTGTAATGAGTGAGACCAAAAAAATTAATAAATTTAAAATAAAAATATTCTTTATATTTTCTTTTTGTATTCACCAATTAAAATAATTTGACAATTTGTATCTAAAAATATTTGAATAATTGGATTGGATGTTTGTTAACTAACTCATTTAACATCCAACCCTTTTATAACCCATCATAAATGGGTTGATAATATGTTATTGACCCACTATTAACTTGTTGATTCATGATTAGCCCAAAATCCGTCCAAATCTATCCAATTGACACCCCAAAGTCTAAACCAAAAAAAATTAATGTTGAGATTTATTTATACTATATTAATAAATACACTCTTGTGAATCATTTTTTCAATTCAAAATTCTAGATTTAATTGATTCACCAGATATCTCAATGCACAGAATCATTTAATAATTTATTAATGCACAGAATCATCTAATAATTTATCGTTTATAATGTAGAACCAGAGCAATACACTTGTAGAATCAAATGAACACATTTATGCGTGTACGTGTCCAATCTTAATTGCCATCCTTTTCGGTTGCTTTGGACACAGAAAGATTCCTCTACAGTCATATTTAGAAGCGGATTGATGGAGAAGTTCAAGGTTCAAACGTAACACAGAAGAAAAATAATGGGATTTCGTATAGTTTATTATTTACCCTTATATATTGCAATACACATTGTACGTGTTAGACATTTCTGAATTTTGTTGTTCATATGATCATATCTCTATTACCTTGAGTAAGAATGGGTTAAAAAGTTCTTCTAACAGTTTATCGGGTTGCGATTCAGAACCAAATTTGACCCACAACATTACAAAATAATATTATCGTGCTTAAACAATTAAATTGCGATTCAACACACGGACAGAGCCAGTTAAGGCCTGGGGCATGTGCCACTCAACTTCTTAAAAATTGTATTTTTGTATGTATAATTTTTTAAAATTTTAAAATTACCCCATTCAAAATATAGAACATTTTATTTTTGTATGTATAATTCTTCAAAATTTTAAAATTGCCCATCTCAAATTTCTTTTATTGAATTGTGCTCCCCTAAAGGCTGAACATAATTTCTGGCTCCACCCACAGGCGGGACAGACCTACAAGTAAGAAGGGGTGGAATTTTGTTTTTTTAGCATTAAGTAGTTGTAATTTCTCTTATTTTCAATTATATACTTTTGAAATTTTACCATGGTTCTATGAAATTATAAATTAAAAAAAAATTTACTTTTGTCCCCTTACTCAATATCCTCGTTCCGTCCCTACCTGCACGTTACTTCAAACTCAAAGTAATGGTGTAAGAACTAGCTACAGTGGAGAATACATAGCTACAGCAGAGAATCCATAGTTTGGTGATTCACAGAAAAAAAAATAATAATAAACTAAAATAAAAAATTTATAAAACGACTACTGCACATTTCATGATATAGTAGTGGATAGAGACAGATTTTAGCTGCGTAACTTTCAGTTTAATATTCAGTGCCATTCACTTCAGATCTACCTGCTCCACTAAAAATAAATAAATAAAATAAAAAACCCCCATAGTTTACAATTTCAGTACTGTTTTATGATCTTAGTATTCAAAATAAGTTGAGACTGACACTAGATAGATTCTACAAGTTTAAACCATTTTGGACTTCCATGAGACTATTATTGTTCATTTTTGCAATTCCAACATTTTTCCAACGACTTGCTCTCATATGAACTTGCTCTCATATGAACTTGACAGAATAGTAAAATTATTCTATCATGACATAAAAATTAAAGGATCGAATCAAGAAATAATTTCTCTACATATAAAGTTACGTACATTTGATCATTCTTAGTTTCTACAATGACGAGAGTCTCGCATACTGAACTATTCCTTTCTATATTATTAACTCGTGCTTATATTATAAATTTGTTCTGATTTTTTTATTAGAAGAACAACTTCATGATAAACTTGCTTTTGCACAAACATGAATCGAGTTAGCTTGTGATAAATACATGGGCCACGGCCAAAATAGAGAGAAAATGGTTCTCATTTATGATCTAGTTCAATCAAAATTCTTCAACCACAAAAAGTGAATAGTTTATGATAAGACTACGTATATTTAATCATCTAATAATTTCTCGATATGAACATATTAATGCACGTACACGTCCAACCTTAAATGCCTCCATTGTGAGGTTGCTTTTGAGAGAGAGAGAGATTCCTTTAGTCATAATTTGTGCCGTGATTGGAGGCGCATTGATAGAGAAGTACGTACTATATATACATACATTCAAACGTAGTAGAGAAGAAAAATAATATGATTCGTATATTAATTGTTTACCTATATAAATTTATTGCAATACACATCGTATATGTTGAGAGAGACGTTTTTGAATTTAAACAATAGGATTCTTTGAACTAAAAGTTCACGTATTTATTACATCATACATATATTTTGGACCATTGGTGATGTAGGCAGAAGAATAACATAGTATGACAAAGAGATTTAGGGTTTGTTTGATTCAATTTTTTATAAATATTTGTTAATTTTTTATAAAAATTATATATAAACTTGTTAATTGTTAAGTCATCAAATTTCAAAAAATTCAGTTCAAAAAAAAATAAAAAATAATTCAAGCAAGTGATTTTTTTTATTATTATAATTTTTTTTTTGTGTGGGTGGTGAGGTTTTATTAAGAAAATTAAAACAAACTGAGACTATATCATTGAGTGACGGCACGAAAAATCACTCACAGGAGATAGACCCACCACTCTTGTGAGTGGTGACAGGCCACAAGGATAAAAAAATTTATGACCATGGGTATATATTTAGGATGTGTTTGGCGGTATAGAATTAGAGTTTTGGAATTAGAATTGGTAAAATTTGAGAAAGTTTTGGTTGAATTTTCTTAGTTGTTTTTTTTCAAATTTTAATTCCAAAGCTTCCATACAGCCAAACACACCCTTTAGCTGCATTTAAAAATAACCCACAATGTACAGCTTCATTGTTGTTTTAACATTTTTATATAAAAAATAACATAAAAGAAAATTAAATATTTTCTTCTTTTTTATTATTATTTTTTATTTTTATGGTTAACATGTTCCTTGAACTAAATTCACTCCGTCCCTCCACCAACCATATGTATTCACATTCAAACTTTGTTATATATATATATATATATATATATATATATATTCAAGTATATGATACTGCCACGATCTCTACCAGAAAGTGTCCTCATTTCCTTAGCTCGCTCTTAACTCGCACAAACATGAACCAAGTTGGCCTATAATAAATGCATGGGCCATAATCAAAACAAGTGATGCTAACGTTCACATAATCTCCCAGCTGGTACCCAATTAGATCCACCAAGACACTTACATATTTATACACATGTACATGTCCAATCCAGAACCCTCCAATTGGTAAAAGGACCGCAATACCCTTCCAAACATGCCAAACTCACCCCATATGAATTTCCCAATCACTGTCTTTTATGTATCGAAACCACCCATCAATTTAATTTCTTATAAGAGATATGGCCAGCTTGCAACAACTAAGCAAACATATTAACTTGATCAAATATATATATATATATATATATATATATATATATGACCATATCTTATGAACCCTTTTCATCATCTAAGTGACAAAGTATGGAATTATTTCAAGATGGGTTGCTTTTATTTACTCTTAGCTTAGTGCTATGCAGTAGTAACACTGTTTTGGTTTCTTCAAGAGGTGCATTTTACACAGCACCAACAGTCCCACATTTGACAGATGGTTTCAGTCATGTCTCAGTCAGTGAAGGGTTCTCTGAATCTTTTGGTCACTCCAATGTCCATCCCACCAGAAATGGGTCCGGCGTCGATCTCGTTCTCAATAAATCCTCCGGTAAAGTCCAAGCTATCTTTCGACTGTATTTCTTCTTATTCAAATTTTAAGACGACGATTTAATGCTTCCAAACGCGCGTGTGTATATTACAGGCTCTGGATTGGTCTCCCGGAACAAATACCATCATGGGTTTTTTAGTGCTGCAATTAAGCTCCCTTCTGGTTTCACATCTGGAGTTGTGGTGGCCTTCTATGTAAGCTCTTCTTTTCATGCATAATATTTACATATATTTGTGTGTGTCAGTGTGTGTCATATAGTATATATGTCACATAACAATGCATATATTTCTGAACCTAACATATTTTCTTTATTTTAAAAATATTATTAATTGGGACTGATTGGAGGGACAGACTGAATAATAATTTAAAAAAAAAAAAAAAAAAGAAGCAGAACTTTATCATTGTTATTAGTAAAAATGGCTAATCTCAGGATTTAAACTCACAAGTCAAGGGGACAAGACTATGGTAATTGCGAGTACAAAGCCTTATCGGAAATGTTATTTTCTTATTTTCAAACTGTGACTTAAGGTTCACAATATACATAATTATGGTTTGTCGTATCGTTCGATACGCGATCTTTTTTAAGTTCGATACGTGATTCGTATTGACCAATTTACACTGATTTTGTCCGAATCCTTTATACCGCGATCGTGACTGTTACTGCGAACCATAACATAACCTTGTCGGAAATCAGAATGGTTGTTTTCTTGTTTTCAACCTTTGGTGACACAAGGTTTACTGTAGAACAACATTATGCCTAGAGATTTACCTTCGATTACTATAATATGTATATATTTATTTATTAATATTAATGTGTGTATTTTAATAATTCCAGTACATGATTTAACATATTATATTATGTGCACCATGTTGCATCAAACATGTGGATGTGAAAGCCCAAAAAGTGACAAAACATTGGGAAATGCAGTTGTCTAATGCAGATGTATTCCCTCACAACCATGATGAGATAGACTTTGAGCTGCTTGGTCATGAGAAAAGACGAGAGTGGGTGTTGCAAACAAACATCTATGGCAATGGAAGTGTAAGAACAGGAAGAGAAGAGAAATTCTATCTTTGGTTTGATCCAACACAGCAGTTCCATCATTACAGCATTCTCTGGAACAACCATCATATAGTGTGAGTAACCCTAATCCAAGCTCTCCCTCTTTCTCTGTTGGAAATATATAAAATATATTTTCAAATTAATTTCTTAAAGGTCATATATAACTTTTGGAATACATCACAACTTTTAGAATTTTACTTTCAATATATATATATATATATATATTGTTCAGAAATTTAGAATTTGTTTGGTTTATCGCTTAGGGCATGTTTGGCAACCATTTCCGTTTTGCGTTTTTGTTTTCATCCGAAACCGAAACAGAGGGATTGGTTTATAAATCTGAAAATAGTTCTCAATAATTCAGAGAACAGAAAACAGTTTTCGGAGAATAATAAAAGACAGGTATCTCAAAACAAGCCTTTTTATAATGAGTTTTCAGAAAACTGAACCAAGCAGAATTTTTTGTACAGTTCTTAGAGTTACAAATCAAGCAGGCCCAAGGTTTCTATTGTGGAGTGTGTTCAATGGTTGTTGAAGCATGTTTACTTTTGTAAAATTTGTTGCAAGATGTTTTGGAAGCAAAAATATAAAAATGTGTTTGGTCAAAAAAGTCAAAAACTGAAAAACACAGAAGGGCTATAGTCAAAAAGGTCATTTAGAGTGGTTTTCTTCCCTAGTGCTTCATCGCTACAATGTTTTGTTACTGTGCAAAACATTAAGAAATACCAATGTGGTGTTTCTGATTTGGGCTTCTTTTCGACAACAAATGCTGATAGTATTCAAATCACAACAAAAGTAAGCACACATTTTTCAATGTTTGCTTTGCTAAAGTACATTATCTGTAAGAGAAAACACGAAACAAAAGTAGTTGCCAAACAAACCCTTAAAAGACAGTTCCCAAAAGTAGTTTTCAAAGATAATTCTCTAAAACAATTATGATTTTCAGTTTTCAGAAAACACACACTTCTAATATTTCCAACATTCTCTCTGGCTTTCATGATTCTACAACAAACTGTTGATGAACCAATGCAGGTTTCTAGTGGACAATGTACCAGTGAGAGAGATTCCACACACTGACGCCATTTCTTCTGCGTATCCATCAAAGCCAATGTCACTCCACGCGACGATTTGGGACGCATCAGAGTGGGCAACTCATGGAGGAAAATACCCTGTCAACTACAAGTACGCGCCATTTGTGGCGTCCCTTGCAGAAATGGAGATGGAAGGCTGCGTATTGCATTCGACAAACTCAGCTTCACCGTGTTCTAAGAGCAGACTTTCAAGCCTGGATCCAGTTGAGGGGGAAGAGTTTGTGAAGTTATCACAGCAGCAGATAACAGGGTTGGAGTGGGCAAGGAAGAAGCTCATGTTTTACTCATACTGTAAAGACACATCCAGATATAAAGTCCTACCACCAGAGTGCAAGGCAAAGTAAAACCATTTCTAATTTTTTTTTTTTTTGTTAAATCATTCTATTTTTTATATATAGAGGTGAATAAATTGAGGGGTTACTTGTATAATTCATATCAAGTTATCAGAAGTCAGAACCAAATAGTTTAGCTTAAACATAAAGAATTATAGAGGTATTGTATTATATTGTTTACATGGACCAATCTCAACTAATTTCCTTTTTAGATGGTTAAAAAAGTGATGCAATTCTATTTTGGATGGTAAGAGTCTCATTGAGGTTGCTTCATTGTGACTTGAAGATCACGGGCTCAAAATTAAAAATAGTCTCATCATGCGGAGGTAAGTTGCGTACATCTAACCCTTCTTAGATCCCACAATAACGGAAGCCTTGTGTATAGTTTTGTTTTTGTACAAAGGTCATTGTTTGGGAGAAATTTATTAACATGGTCACGGGATCATTAGTCCTGGACCAATTATGTACTGATACATAAACAAATCCGTCATCTTATATCAACTCCAACTCACTTTTATCGGGCCAATTATATACTGATATATAAACAAATCCATCACCTTATGTCAATTACAACTCACTTTTACTCATGTGTCGATACGTGATTGACTGAGACCGTGCAACTAACAAGCGTGAGAACTCAAATCCAAGTGTTCCACTTTATGCAAAATGTCAAAGGTCAGATCACTTTCTAGTTTACCAACCCAACATACAAACCCCACAAAGATAGTACATGACCTTTTTTTGTCATGAACAAAGTTTGAAAAATCAACTGAAATAAATATATATAGGTATGATTAATGGCGGGAAGAACTGAAATACATCTAAAATGAGCTGTTTGACAAAAAGCTTCTGCTTTCAGATGGTCAACAAATTTTTTGGTATCTGCCGACTAACAAATCAACTGAATAAGCACACAGCTAAGAGCTAAAAGACAAAATGGTGCAAGTTCTCCCAAATCTGTATAGAACAAATATATTGTTTGGGGCCAAGGAAAATTCTGTTTTTGAAAGTAAATGTCAAAACTAAAACATAACTACGAAGTCTACGATCACACAACTTCAGATAATTTTCCATTTTAATATGAAATCTAGGAAAAATAAAGCAGTTTTCATTAGCCTTAACCACAGATTGCAACATAATTTATTTGTATCAGCCATTTCCAACAAAAGAAGCCAAAAAAAAAAGGGTCTTTGATCATCATCATCAATGTCAAGCAAGTCCGACCTAAGATTCTGTTGCGGCCTGCTCTTTATTTTCAAACGAAATCTGAATCGAAATGTGAGAAGTTATAACCATGCAGGATTTTCCAAGGGAGTAACAACGGCCTTTACTTGCAAGTAGTTACTGAGACTGTAGATTCCCTTTTCTCTGCCATGTCCGCTCATCTTGTAACCACCGAAAGGGATTGCAGCATCAAACGTATCGAAGCTGTTAATCCACACTGTCCCAACTCTCAATGCACGCATCAAGGTGTTGGCGGTGCTGAGGTTCTGAGTAAACACCCCTGCAGCCAGCCCATAACGAGACGCATTTGCCCTTCGTATCACATCATTAAGATCCCTGCAATCAGCCAGCAAATAAAATGGTGAAGGTGAAGATGCACAAGCACTCCAATAATATAGGCAATACAGAGGATTTTTCGTCGACTCACTTGTATTTTAAGATAGATTGCACCGGACCAAAGATCTCCTCCTTTGCAATAAACATATTGTCCTGATTTAAGTTAAAATTATGTTAGTTTTGATGATACATTGACCTCCACAGTGGAAAGGTAATCTTACTAACTATTTATGGTGCAAGGAGATATACCTGAACATTAGAGAAAACCGTGGGCGTGATATAGTAGCCCTTGGTACCAAATCTCTCACCTCCAGTCTCAAGGGTAGCTCCACTGTCGATCCCAGATCTTATACACTTCAGGATCTTTTCAAATTGCTCCGAATCAACCTGATTTTTTCAGCAATGCAGCAATTAGAACGATTTGATATATTTTGCAGTACTAAAAATAAGTAGCAAATTGTAAGAATTTGAAAATATGATTTTTCATTCAATAAATTGATATTTCAGTTTTGGGAGAGTTGGTTTAAATTGAAAATTTTATTGGTTGAAGCACGTAGCAACATAAACATTAGCATACAAGTTAGACACAAGTTCAGGCTTTCAAACAAAGTTCAGCAGCTGAGTTGAAAGATAATGTCAAGCATGAAATGTGAAGAAAAAGGACAATTATTATGTAACGGAATTCTGAAAATCTACCTGGGGACCTTGTTCAATTCCCTTCCTGAATGGATCACCAACGACACGTTTCATGGCACGTGCTTTTGCTTTCTCTACAAACTCATCATAGACGCGTTCATGTACATATGTACGAGAGCCAGCACAGCAGCATTGTCCCTGCGGAGAGAATGTGTAACCAATTATTTCAATTCTCCATGAACATGATCCCACCCATTTTCAAAGACAATTGATTGGACATACCTGGTTAAAGAACAGAGCAAAGTGAGCCAGTTCAACGGCCTTATCCACGTCAGCATCCTCACATACAATGAAAGGGGATTTTCCTCCCAGCTCCAAGGTCACTGGCTTAAGATTGCTTTTAGCAGCCAGTTCAAGTACAATTTTTCCGACTTCTGTTGATCCAGTGAAAGCAAGCTACGAATGCAGTACCAAATGTCATTATAGGAACAAGTGAGAGCAACTAACAAATATATTTACTCTAAGATACATACAAGTGAATCAACTCCATCTCAGGTGAAAAGATTAAAAAAAAAAAAAAAATTGTAATCCCATCAGGAAACACAATCTGTTTCTTCCAAATCATGAACTTTGGTTATTAAGCAAAACAAGTTTCTTCGGTCCAAAAAGTTCAAACATGGGGTAACAATTCTCTACGTAACTTATAAATCATCCTGTTAGCGGCATTGCATTGCTTGGTGCAGTGGTAAAAGCCTGAACTGTAAAGCATGAGAATGCAGGTTTTAGTTCGAGGACTATCACTTTGGGCAAAAAATTGGCAACGGTGAAGTTCTTACCTAGTCCATTCTTTCCACCACATTCAATTAATAGGTACCACATTGGATAAGTAGGGGTTCTTGAGCGGGATGAGTTACCAACCCAGCCTCAAAAACCCACGGTATAGAACCTTCAATCCAAGCCCATCCCCAACTCAAACTCAAATATTGAGTTTGGTTTGGAAAATCGGGTCGGCTTCGAGTTAGCCTAGGGTTGGGTTGCTCCTTCCATAAAAATTCTAAAAACTGAATATAAAAATATTGAAAAACTACAGCCAAGTGTCAGTAATTAATTATTCAAAGATTTATTATACAGCAAATCAAGATTTAAATAAAAAAAATCTGATCACGGTTGTAGATAAATATAATATAACATTAAGTTAAAAATACATACAAGGAATTTGGGTTAAGCTCGGCCCTTGGTTGGGTTTGGCTTGCCCGAAACCTCAATCCAAGACCAACCCTTGTGGTAAAAATGATTGTCCAAGCTATGAAAAAGATTTGAGTTAGGTTTGGGTAGCCTTACCAAGTCGCAACCTTATGGAAAATGGCCTTCACATATCCAGCTAATCACAAAATTCATGATATTGATATCACAATCACAACCACCTCAATCAAATGTTCATCCAACAAAAAAAAATTAACTCATGTCTGACAAACAGAGAAAGAGTAAAGAGTAAGGGAGAAACAGGTTGGTGAGAAGGAAGGAGGGAGAAACATTAGGGGAAGATGTAAAATAGCTGGTGCAAGAATAATAATATTTTAAAAATATATGGAACAGGATAAACAAAGTCAAAAAGACAGAAATTACAGAACTTATACTATAGTATAAACTTCATAAAAATAAATTAACTCATTAATTAATTATTACTTCTTGTAAAAAATAAAATAAAATAAAATAAAAACCATCTACATAAAAGGTGGATGATGCCACAAACCGGCAAGGGAAAGTGACGTTGTTAACCTTGAAGTCACCCAATACAGAGTAGAACAGTGAAATAATATTCATGGAATCAACTCCAAATGGTAATTAAGGTTTTTGTTAAGTTGCGTTGAGCATTGTTAAAATGATGTATTTAAAAAAATAAATAAATAAATAAAATATCAGTTATTTAATAAAAATATATAACTTTTTATTCATTTGAAAGCTGGAACAAGAACCAAAACATTGCCATTTAGAATAAAAAATGAGTAACATAGATCAAAATTGATTCTTAGTTTCCAATGTCAGTATTCAATTCATTCAAACACAATTTGAGAACTACTTCAATATGCGAAAAAGAAGCGGGATTTGTTCTTTGATGAAAATATCGTTAAAAATTCAAAAGATTCTGAAAAGAAAAGGTATTCGAGGACTAGCCCAGAGGTAAGGATGGCAATTGGTCAAGTTGGCTAGTATTAGGTGCATATAATAAGTGCATACGCCCAAATCCTGCCTATTTAATAAATGTGAAATGAAGCCTAAACACGGACCCAACCCATTTAAAAATGCATAAACCAAAACCTGACATGTCTAATCTATTCTTTTCCAACAAATTAAACTAAATCTAGCATTGCATATACTTTAAGTAATTATAATGTTAAACACTATTATAGGGATAAAACAAATAATTAATGAAGGTTAAACATTATCAATTATAGTGTTAGGTTCAAATGGATCAACCAGAACTAGGCCTGTTTATGCACTAATTGGAAAGGCCAACCAAAACCACTAGTTATTTAATTGAATAAAAAACATCAAAGTGAACCATTACAATTAGCTGCCAAAAGTTTCCAGTGTAAACAACTGGAACTGATTTCCTCCAGAACTATGTGTACTCAGCTAGATTCAATTTAGCTTGTATCTTGAAACACATTTTTTTTGGTTTTGTCCTAGTTGATCTTTGGACACATTTGGAGATGAATTTATTTTTATTTTTTTTTGGATAAGTATTTGGATAATACTTCATCATGCAAAATCATATTTATAAATGACCAATTTATAGAATTTACTGCCTTATTGTCTTTCACCTCATTCATAGACACTTATGTAATACTGCATATACTCCCCCAAAAAAAAAAATTTCGTTCAGATGTTCTTTCACTACATATAGAAATAATATCACATTTATCTTCCTAAAATCTCATACCTCTATGAGACTTGGCAGTTTCCTCCATCCATCCAGTTTGTATGGTCATGTGATAGTTTAACAGTCTTAAACAACATTGAGAAATTCTAAACATGGAACAAGAAAGTGAAATTACATGAATTGCATTCCCTATGGGCTATGGGTTAAAATATTTAGGCTGTGCTAATTTCAAAATTTAAGCTCGAATTTAGATGTGTTTTTGTGCCATAAGCCTTTCCACTTAGACGCATATAGGGGCTAAATTTGAGCAGATTGGATAGACTGAGAAATAGTTCATGCGAAACCCAAGGTATGAAACCTTCAACCAAGTCCAATCAAACCCAACCTTCAACTCAAGTTTCGCAATCCACAACCCCATGTCCGGTTATTGGGAGGCTGACGTATAATATCATGCCTAAGGATCCAAAATAGTATATTTTTGCAATGGACGAGCAAGCACATACTTCCTAGGGCATTCATCACAAACTTAGATAAATCAACCTAAGTAGAGCAATCTTGCAGACAATTCTTAACCTGTACCGAACTCATATATGACTGAATAATAAATACATTTTAAGGTTTTAGATTACCTTATCCACATCCATATGTTTGGCAAGAGCTGCACCAGCAGTGGAGCCGAAGCCAGAAACCACATTAAGAACACCTGGAGGAAGCCCAGCCTTTCCAAAAATAATCATAAGAATAAATATTAAGATAGCACATATTTATTATCAACACAAACTAAAAAAATTCAGCATGACTCCTGATGAAACTGTACATGACTACTGTAAAATGTTCGGAACATATATAGGACAATGTGCAGATTATAAAAATGTAAAACCAAATTTAATTTTCTGTTTTTTGGCATGAGAAACATCCTTTGTGCTTTTAGTATACTCTACTTCTCACCATAGATGTTCTTTTTTTGGCTACAAAAATCAAAATTCGACTCCAATAATCAAAATTGTATGACAGGGAAACATTCTAAAGAAATGAATGGAAGTTTGATTCATGAATTACCTCAAGGAATAGCTTTGATACATATAAAGCTGACAGTGGTGTCTGCTCTGCGGTCTTCAAAACAACAGTGTTACCGCATGCTAATGCAGGCCCAACCTTCCAGGCATACATGAGAAGAGGGAAGTTCCATGGGATAATCTGACCTGCAACACCAATTGGTTCGTGCAGGGTTTGCACATGGTGCAGGCCATCAGCAGGAACTGTGAGACCATGAATTTTATCGGCCCAACCTGCAGAATTTGTAGATAAAAATCTTAGAATTTTATTAAAATCTGCAGAATGGTAGAGATTGAAACATACATCATCATAGTGTTTTCACTTCACCCTACCAGCATAATATCGAATTAGTCTTACAAGCATCGGTACTTCAATGTTAGCAGACTGTTCAAATGGCTTTCCATTATCCCAAGTCTCAAGTGCTGCAATTTCATCATTATGCTTTTCAATCAAATCAGCACAGCGCAACATTATTCGCGATCTTTGCTGGATGCATCAAACAATAGATTATTTAAATAAAATTTTTTATATATAATGAGTGAAACATGTATAAAATGAGGACGGAGATAAGAAAGTTACATAAGCAGGCATTTTTGGCCAGGGTCCTTCATCAAAAGCCTTGCGAGCAGCAGCAACTGCTCGGTTGATGTCTTCTGCATCGCCTTCAGCAACACGAGCAATCACATCCCCTGTCCTAGGGTCCACGGACGGAAATGTTTTCCCTGATGCCAGATAAAATCTTACACAGTTGATGAAATGATGAAGTTTATTCATTAGGCTGTTCCCGGGAATAAAAGTATTGAAAGCTCACCGGATGCAGCATCCACAAATTGTCCATTGATAAGAAGCTGAGTGTAATTTACATTAACAGGTGGTTTGATTGGCTCCTCAACTAAAGCAGCAGTGCTATATTTGCTGATTCCTCTGCCAACATTAGATTGTTTACCTAAACAAAACAATAAGAATTTGTTGTAATTAATAAGAATGGTACAACTATAATTACATGCTTCAATAAACTTAGACACTTTGTGTTTTTTGTAACAAGGATTTGGAGATCATTGAGCCAGCAAAAAAAAAAAAAATTTTGAGTCACACAATAAGATAAAGAAATTTCAAACTGCCATAATAAACAAATGAACATTGAAATTTACTTACACTAAAAAAAAAAAAAATGAACTTTTTAACATTTATTGATATTTTAGTTAAAATCCCATTTCCATTTTTTTTTTTTAAGGTAAATACATCCATTTCGATTATTATAGAGCTAACATATTAGAAAAAAAATAGATATGTTATATAAATAAGGAAAATTTTGGTGGGGACTACTAGTATGTTTAGGGTAGTTTACCAAAAAAATTAAGTACATATATAATAGGAGAAAGTGAGTGGGGGTGGCCGCCCCCATTGACTAGTACATAGGTCGGTCCCTGTCATTGCTGAAATGAAATCAACAATTTGAGCATGAAAAGAGACGTATGACACTAAAATGTGAAAGTCTCATTAAAGCGTGAACTATGAATAGAATCACAATCCAGATCCAAGAATTGGCACATTTTTAAGATCACCCATGATTAACTTTGTACGAGATGGCTTAACCCCAGTTTGAACATATGTGGAGTCACACATGGGCGGATATAAGCATTTAATTTATCTTGAATACATATATACATAAATATATATAATGCAATAAATTTTATCCATGATGATAAGTGTAAAAAAAAAAAAGGTGCTAATTAAAAAAGATAACAATCACATTCAACAAATCACCATGTTTGACTTTAATAATAATTACCAAAAATATATATGACCTATAATTTGAAACAAAATATAATAATCTCTTGTTACAATACCTAACGTGTTAAGAGATCTTGTAATCTGAAAATTAAATCGTATTTCACTAGGTGAATTATATCTATTAAAAAAAAATAGATATAGACAAAAAAAAAATTAGATAAACTACAAGTCTTTCCGAATTATTTCATTCTCAATCTTTTTCTTTTTTTTATCCCTGAATCCGAGATTGCAAAGAACATAAAATCAATCACAGAGAAATTAAGGTGAAAACGAGCTATATATATAAATATACATACTATACAATCACTCAGCATAACTGAACAGACGAAGAAAATGACTGTGTTTACCTCGAGAAAGCAAAGCAACAGAGGACGAAGCAAACGAGCGAAAGAGAACAGATGGCATTCTTCGAACCGCCATTGCAATGAAGCTCGAGCTTTACCAACAAATAAACCTCTCGTTCTCTCTCTCGATATATATATATATATATATCGATATTGAATAGTGTATATAGTTATATAAACAAAACTCCGTATCTCTCTGTTTCAGTTTCTTCTCATCGCTATCACGAGGGCTTCAAATGGTGAAAAGTCAGAGAGATTGGATGACTAAAATGCCGTCGTCTAAGTGTAGAGAGAGAGAGAGACTGAGTTACCAACCTCCTCTGGATGGAGGCACCAAAATTATTGGCAAAGATATGAAAAGCAAAACTTCACAATGAGGACGACCTTATGTAAATAACACACACTGACACATATATATAAGAAAATGTTATGGTCAATATCAGGTATTGAATCGTTGGATTCAATGGTTGAGAGCGTGAGTTTATCGTGAGCGCACCCACATAATAGTGCTGCTCTCTCTGGATATATCATATTTATATATATATATGTATATATATATATACACACGTGGATGACTTATCTTCTTAGGTTACCAAAAATGTTGGGATATGGGCTTTATGATTGTATAATATTCAACTCATTGGCTCACACGATCGCATCAACTTTTTTTAAAACAAAAATAAAATATAAAAAGATAGATCATAAATCACATCCTACCAAAAAAATATATATATATAGGTTTTGACTTGGAAAAGATGGATCATAAATCACATCCTACCAAAAAAAAAAAAAAAAAAAATTGATTTTGACTTGGAGTGATTTTAGGGTGAAATTGACCTTTCCGAATTACTAGTGTAAAAAAGGAGTAAGAGTCAGAGTAAATTTGAGAGTCAAAAGCGTGATATCTTATTTATTTTTTTATTATAATTATGTATAAATATTGAGAAAAGTATTTAATTATATTAAAAGAGAACTGTAAAAAATTATACTATCAAAATTTTGTATCAAAATCTATTTATAATAGACTAGATGAATTGGTCAAACATTTACATTACATTTTTTTTACTTTATTTGACCAAATTAATATATCATATAAGTTTTGAATAATAATAAGTAATACATTTGACTACTTTATATGAGCTCATTTCTAATAGATTATATGAAGCGGTAAAACTTTTACATTCTATTTCTTTTCACTTCATCGAACAAATTAATATATCATCTTTGATTTTCTATTTAGATTGCATGGATAGGAGAAACTCTACAATTTTTTTTTTTTTTTTGTTTTACTTCATCTGCTCAAATTAATATATCATCATAGACTGTTTATTTAGAGTACATGAATCTGTCAAACTCATACATTCTCATCGTACCAAATTAATACATAATCTTTGATTGTCTAATATAATTTTAAAATAATGATAACTAGTCAAAAGTCAATTGCATTAACCTATCTTAATGACTTCGCGATATCAATCTTCATTTGCATAAATCTAGTAAAATGCATATAAATTTAGTAGAATGCATCTAGAGATGACAACGAGGGCAGGTATACCCTCTCCCGCTCCCACAACCATTTAGAAACCCAAAACCACAAAAACAAGAGAACTGTCTACCACATCTCTGTAAGTGTTTAACATTTTTACTCTCGCGGATACCTACCCCCGCCCCGTTTAAGACCAAAATTTATTTATTATTGAAATAGATTTGCATTCTTTTTTTTTCCCTCATCTTCAATTCTTCACCATTGCAAATTTCCTTTTAATCAAATTCATTTGTTACTTTAATATTATTATATAGGATACTTAATATATAGTAGGAAATATATATACTAATGAAATAAAGGTACTTCAGTAATTTGTCTATCTAAACGGGGTTGACAGGGCGATGCAGGGCAACCTCCCCCGCTCTCGCACCAAACCTGTGCGGATTTTTATTACATCAAACTATCCCCGCCCAATTAAGCAAAACGGTCCCCAAAAAATGTCAAAAATGGTACGGGGTAGGCGGGTAACCGTGGGGGTGGGTCAAATTGCCATCCCTAAATTCATCCGACACTCAAACTATGTATCAGAGCTCATTATTTTATTTTATGATAAGTCTAGAAATACAGATTCAAATGTTGAGAATATCTATTTTCACACCAGATAATAATTCTATGATTTCTATCGATGATTTATGTAGTTTTTCATGTCTTAAGGGTGATAATTGAGAATTTGTGAGAACTAACTTAAAAATATATTATTTGACAAGGAATAGATGATAGGAGATATTATAAGTTAATCATTATGTACTCATCCTAAAAATAAAAAATAAAAAAGTTAATGGTTACCATTTTTGTTCCTTATATATAATGAATTTCCATTTCACCCACCTTCTTTTCTCTTGGAAGAGATTATTATTAAAATCATTTCCCTTCATTTTTTTAGTTATCCCAACACATTATTTAATTATTTTCTTTTATATTTTATCCAATGTTATCCTCTTTTCATTTATCCTCCTAGATACATGGGATATGGAACATTGATGAGTCTATTAAAATTTAATTTTAAAAGTTCAACGTGATTTTAGTTTGAGGTATGATGAGGAACATATTTTATTACAATCCTTGAAAAACTACAAGTCTTATTGGCATTATAAATAATAATTATTATTATTATTATTTTCAAATTATAAATAATTATTATAACTTGTTTGAAAATCACACATACAAATATACAATCGTTTTAAATTAGTCAGCCATGTTATTAAAAATTAAATCTAAACTTTAGAAGAAGCTTCTTAAATAATTAGACTTTAAAATACTTCATTTGAAATCCTTGAAACTTAAAGTCAATCTGATCAAGACAACTCAACTCAAATCACCTTCCATGTAAAGAGACATGGCAATCATGTCCATGAAATATAATGATTACATATAAAATTATATGGTATGTAAGTAGGGTTTAAGTTTTGAGATATTCAGTCCATTTATTTATTTGATTCTCGATGATATGCTCAAATAATGAGACCACTTTATATATATATATATATATATATATATATATATATATATATTCCCATAACATGGTGCATTAGCATGAGCTGTAAAGTGGTCTCATTTCACATATATACAACTCAAAATATAAGATGCTCAAATAATGAGACCACTTTACAGCACCATGTTATGGAATGTTTCTTTTATATATATATATTCACATATATACAACTCAAAATATAAGAGGCAACTTCATCCACCGGTGTTGACTGGTCAATATAGAAATGTGTGCAGAATTATAGATGGTGTTATATATGTATCAATTGTTGACATGATCTAATTAAAATTGTAAGAGAAGCAATTGAGCCCCCAAAAAATTTACATGGATAACTAAAGAAGAGACTCGAGTCCGAGCAAACTATAATAATATAGGAAAATGATAAAAGCATCCCAATTTTTTTTAATTTTTTTAAATGTACTATTTTTAAAATAAAATAAATAACTAAATGACTAAAATTTCCTTTATAATGTATTGACAATAATGTTATTGGCAATAATGTTATTTCAGATTAAAAGTGAAGTGCATTTATAAATTAGAGTGTATTTATCACGTCCCAAACATTTAATCTTAGTTTGACAGTGGAACAAATTTGACTAATTTTATGTAAGTAGAAGTAATTTTATGTAAGCATAAGTAGATATCAACACTGAATATTAATGATATCAATCTTATCGAATAGTAATTTTGACTCTAAATCATTATTATGTATTCAAACATTGTTATGTCACAACTCGTCTTATCATAAATATTAATGACATCAGTCTTGGCTCATATGATTCAACAAATTATCCTATTATGACTCCAAATCATTATTGTGCATTCAAATATTGTAGTGTCATAACTCGTTGTATAATAATATTAATGACATCAATCCTTACTCATATGATTTAGCGAATTGTCCGATTTTCACTATAAATCATTATTCTGCACTCAAACATTGTCATGTCACAACTCGCCTTATCACAAATATTAATGACGTCAGTCCTCACTCACACGATTTAGCAAATTGTTCGATTTTGGCTCTAAATCATTATTATGCACTCGAACATTGTTATGTCACAACTCGTATTATCAGAAATATTAATAGCGTCAGTCATCACTTACATAATTTAGTGAATTGTCTGATTTTAACTCTAAATTATAATTCTGCAATCAAACATTGTTTTCTCACAACTCGTCTTATCAAAAATAATAATGATATCAGTTTTCGCTCACATGATTTAGTGAATTATCCGATTATGATTTAGTGAAAATATTAATGATATCAGTCATCACTCATATGATTTAGCGACTTGTTTGATATTGACTATAAATTATTATTTTACATTCAAACATTATCATGTCACAACTCATCTTACTAAAAATACTAATGACATCAGTTCCTGCACTTACACCGATTTCACGAATTGTCTGATTTTAATTTTAAATTATTATTCTGAATTCAAACATTATCGTATCACAACTTTATCTTATCCTAAATTTTATCACCATCCTTATTTTTATTCCAAATAAATGGAACGACAGTCTTATCATCACTTTAAGTTAATGATGATGAGTGCCCTTGAGTTGTGACATGACATGTCTTTGAATGAGTGCTGAAACTTATCTACATATATTTCTTTTTATGTTTGTCGGATCTTTTTCATATTTGGAACATACTATTTATAAAATACTTATTTAATTGTTTTTTTTTTCCCCCTAAAATTTAGTACCGTGACACTGTTTTTGAATAAGAAAATCTCCAATCGTTGTGTATTATTTTTTGTGTAAATCTGATGTGTCAGAATAAATTTACACAAAAAATTTGGATCATTTAAGATATTCCGTAAGCTTATTTCATGTGTTATGGTTTTATTGTTATAATAAAATATAGTTTGACCCATTGTAGCATTATAAATTGTTGTGTGGTCCATAATAAAATAATAATCCATTTTGAATAAATAATACACTGGTCCATCCATTTCTAAGAAAAAGTTGGTTTGTTTTCCCATTTTTCAGAAATAACCCAAATTTGACTTCAGTACCTTGTAGTATTTGGACTCTAAGCCCATGCATTAATAAAAATTCCTTTGAAAAACAGAGTGCCCATCTCAAACGGACTCCCGTTGACAACCCAAATAATAGGAAGTTACCTACCGTGTGCTTTATAAACCAAGTTTAGGTCGGAAATCTGAATTGGGACAATTGAAAAGATATGAAAAAAGAAATGTAATGGGCATGAGAAAGTGATAATACTTATCAGCAAAGCCAATAATATCACCAACAGGCCTGTGAGTCCCAACGAAAAAAAGGCCCGTGACAACTAAAAAACAGTAGTCAATCATATCCACCCTGCCCACCAAAATAATAATAATAATAATTCTTCACATCCTTCACGAGTTGGTTAGGCCCCACATTCATCGGACCATTGAGCCATTGCAGTCAGCGGGTGCTTTGTAAATCTTAGTGACCAATAATAATGTTGTTCAATAAAATTACAACAAGTGTTAAATTAAATTAAATATTATTTAATTTTTATTTTTGAGCATATATTAATTTTTGTTTTTGAATAATTATTTTAAATTTATTGGACCACGTCAGTAAATTAGATGAAATTTATTTAACCTAAATTGGACCCAAATATTGTTTAAAAACAAAACGCCAAAAATAGATGGAGCAAAAATAGGGTTTGCAGTATGGCTAAGGTGTTATTTGTGTATAGAAAACAATGAATTTTTAACAAATTCAATATAAGTCTTTTTAAATAAAAATTTTGACAAATTCTTAACAATTATAATCAAATTGCTTTCTTTGTTTTTTAAACTATTATTAACTTTATAGTTGTAAATTTAAACATTGAAGAAATCATATAACGGATTATATATGATGTAGAACTGATTATCCAAGCTTTTATAACCCATTTGGACTGTCGGGTCAAACGGGTATGCAATCAGATTTTACAACGAAAATTAATGGGAACAAAAAAACTCAAATAATGGATTTTATATTTTTAAAATATGTTTATAACCAATTGGAATAGGTTTGACCAATGAAACCTCCTTGAACCAGTAGATGAAAATTTTCAGGAGAGTCATCAATCAAATCCTACCACGTGCTTGAAATGAAAAATTAAAATTAAAATTAAAAAAATAAAATAAAAATTCGTCTAGCTGGTTAGGAACTTAGGTCCTACGTCTTTATTGCTGAATGACCATTCAACTGCCGTTGGCAAGTGATAAGTTATCTTTCAGTGCACTATAATAATACCAAAATACCAAAATTTTACTTATGTGATGCATTGTGATTAGTCAGGGTCACGTAGTTTTAATTCATGTAATAATTTTTTTTATTATAATTAGTTGGGATCATGTAGTTTTAATTCGTGTAGTAATTTTCTTGATGGGCATGAACATTAAGTTCATTGAGACAAGGTTAAGAAAGTAAGACCCATTTGATTCAATTTCTTAAAAACATGTATCTAAAATTCCTAAATCTATTTTCAAAGATTGGTCTCTAAAAACTAAGATTAAAAAAAAAAAAAAAAAAAATGGATTTACTAAAAACAGATTTTTGTATTATAATTTTTTATTTTCAATTTTTCAAAAATAAATTAAACCAAACAAACCTAACTCTTCTTTGAGTTGGTGTTGGAGAAGTTAAAAGAAGGATACGTCTGGTGATACAAGCAAAGGAGTTAATTGTGTATAGAGACATCAACAACTCAAAATTCAAGTCTAAACAAATTCAATACAATCATTTTTATAAAAATAATCAACAAAATATTTAACAATAATGTATCAATATACACACACTCAAATAGCCTTGTAATTCTACATTTAGCTCTACTCACCCTCACTTTTTATGCACTAGATTTGTATATTGAATATTTTATGTGTCGTCAGATGGACAGGCATGAGATGGATAAAAAGCCAAAAGGATCATTATTTTGTGTCTAGAAAATCTCATAATATTTTCTATTTTATTATTGTGCCCTAAAAAATGAACTTATAATAGCACTTGCCACGACTGATTAAGGACAAGTAAATATTCGGTCTGCTCAGTGCACACGGCTAATAATCCAAGTCATACATGCACAATTAATCTATATGCGTGCATAATACACGTTGACGTGAGAAGAATCACAAACACAAACAGCTCAAACTAGTCCGATGATGTGATTGTTTTATTATTATTGTTTTTTAATTTTTATTATTAGTTCATGGGCTTTTAATGAATTCCGTTGCCTTATAGTATGATATCCGCCAAAAGTTCCTTTAAACAGGGGACAGCCCTCTTTTAAATAGAAATACCAAGAAAGAGATTCCTTCATATAGGGGATAAACCAGAAGTTAAAAGAAATTTAAAATATGTTTCTGCTTTTTTGGTAAATAAATTTAAAACATGTCCTCAGGCAAGAGATAATGAAATAAACCTAAAATTTTATACCAAAAAAAAAAAAAAAAAAATGTATCCCTCCATATGCTTTCTTTTACTTCCATTTCTTTCCCACACAACTGGGCCACTCCCTGTGCATAAAAACATATGATCCAACATTATGCTACTGTCTGTGCATACAAAAAAATGTCTCTAACTACTACCTAACCCAACATTACTCACACTATTGTCTGTGCATCAAAAAAAGTGTGCCAGTGTGATTACCACCTAATCCAACATTATGCTATTTTCTGTTCATCAAAAAAATATGTGTGTGACTACCACTAAATCCAACATTATGCTATTGTGAATTATCTAACACATTTTTAAGTATAGTCCGCTCTGATATGTACCACGTCACGTGTCTAATTACTCGACAAAAATGTGATTACCACCTAATCCAAGATTATGCTATTGTCTGTGCATCAAAAAATATGTGTCACTACCACCAAATCCAACATTATGCTATTGTGAATTATCTAGCACATCTTTAAGTATAGTCTGCTCTGATATATACCGCATCACGTGTCTAATTACTCAACAAAATCTATACAAACATAGCTTACTGATTTTATATCAAAATAAAAACCTATAGACCGCAACACGTGTCTAATTACTCAGACAAAATCTATACAAACATAGCTTACTGATTTTATATCAAAAACAAAAACCAGTAGATTGTGCCTGGACAGACAAATATGTATCGATGAGCGTACAAAAGAAAAAGGATAGCCTAAAGCACGTGCTTTTTAACAAGCAGAGTAACGTCAGCAATTAGACCAGTTGAGCAAAAACCCTACAGGATACTGAATTTCACCCAAACAGGCAGCTAGCATATAGCTAGGAATGAAGTTAGAAGTGTATCTAATCATTTTCCTTGGGACCATTTATAGGATTCCTCAGATGAATTTAGCATCTAATGTGCTTGGGCCGGCTACCGGTGGGCAACGTACAAGATACCTGGAGGGGGCTCAGGTCCTCTTTATCTTTGAAAATGTTCCAATTTCTGAAAAGTAAGTGCTTTGAGTTCCACTTCCAAGCTGACTTGCATGTGCCTGTGGATTTGAGAGCTCAATCCCCTGCAAAGTGAAAAAGACATTGTAAGCAACCGAATGAAGATAAATCAACTATAAAGGAAAAAAATTACTTAACCAAAAAAACCTAACAGATATTTATAAGAAATTTTCATGGCAACAATCAGAAGAGTTTAATTACTTCCAAGTAGGTCTTACAATCCTCTTCCATAGCTTCAATCAAATAAAGAGGATAATGATTATCAGAAAGTACAAGACACATTCCTCCGCAATGACTACTAATTATATCCCCCACTTCCCATCTAGTACCATCAAAAATCAAATCTTTTCTCATTTTACATAGTTGCCAACACAGAATAAATAAAAACACAGTAAAGGTTTTTGTTCCACCCATGACAAGGTTAGACGTGTTCTATAAATATGGAGAACTATAAACTGATTACATACCATCTTATATTCTCTAAGTCAAGCCCCAATCTAACATGGTCTTTTCAGGCTGGACCACCTTGAATGGCATGAGCCTTTTCTGTCAGGAGATTGTAGTGGTGGGCATGGATTCCTGTGTTTGGATCCTTTCTACACAGGGGAGTTTTACAGGGCGGTCTTTCTACAGGAGTCTTACAGATGATTCAGGGCATTCTTTTCCTTGGAAGGCTGTGTGGTGGTCCAAAGTGCCCCTTAAGGTGCCTTTTTTTTGCCTGGACGATTGTTCTAGGGAAGATTCTCACTCCAGAGTCCAGACGACTTGAGGAGGAGGAAACAAATTGTTGTAAATTGGTGTTGTATGTGCAAGAGAGATAAGGAGATGGTTGATCATCTTTTGCTGCACCGTCCTTTGGCCCAAGATAGTTGGGGCCTTTTAGTTTGCTTGGGGTCCATTGGGTTATGCCTAGGTCCTCTAGGGGTCTGATTGAGGCTTGGAGAGGATAAACAGCGAATGCCCAAGCCCGTGACTTTCACCTTTGTGCATTTGGTGGTGCTTATGGACAGAAAGGAATAGGAGTTCCTTTTTGGGGCACTCTGAGAATCAGCAAAAGTTTCATTTCCTATTGGAGCTCTTAAGTTCTCTATTCTTTGTTCTACTTTTTGTTGGGTTTTGGGGAAAGATTGTAAATCCATGGGGAGATTCTTGATTTTTTGGACTCTTTGAGAATTTAGTGGCTTTTTTGGCCTTGTGTAGTTTTATTGGGATGTGTCCTTATTTGAACGCTTTCTAATATAATTTTACTTAAAAAATAAAAATTGGAAAGAGCTGCATGTGAGGAGACTTGCACGTACAGCTTTTAAGGGGATCTGGCACCCCCTACACACTCCCTTAGGCTTGTGTGTTGAAAAAGTCACTGATTCTATTCTACCTTTGGGTGTTGATAAACTCACCGATTCTTTTCTACCTTTGGGTGCTGATAAACTCACCAATTCTATTCTATCTCTTAACATCCGTCCATAACCGACTTCAGGGAAGACATGGTGTAATGGACAACCATTCCTAGAGTATCTTCCCCTGAGGGGAGCTTAGGGTTGGTAATATCCAACGATCTCTCTAAGAAGAGTGCAGCAGTATCATATCAGAACACTTCATTATTGATGTCAGACAGATTGTCTCCTTTATTGTTCCTATTATTGATTAGAACCTCTATACGTCCTTCACTTTCTCCTTCCTTCATGATAAAATCAGTAAGAAGAAGAAGAAGAGAAAAGAAAAACTACAATTGGGACAATAAATGAATGCAAAAGAATTTTCTTCACCCATTGCACTAAATCATTCGTAAAACTCATTTCCCTAATGCAAACAAGCAGAGAGGAGATAGAGGAGGGGGACCACTTAAAGCTAGTGTAAGCAAAATGGAGACACCATGAAACCAAATAAAATGATTTTCCAATTTGCTACTTCCATCTCGATTAAAGCAGGCAGTTGATAGTCTTAAACTTGAAAGTAGCAAAAAAAATTACTTTTGATTAGATCAACAAAAATTAAAATATTTTTCTTAAAACTTCTGCACTCGTCAAACCCAACCAAGTAGTACTTGAAGATCTGAATCTCAATTTAACTCTAATCAAGATTAAGTATAACACCTAGAACAACATTTAAAATCTTCTTTCCAGTATGAATTGATCTTATTCTTATCACTCGAGCAAAAGGATTGTGTGAAACATATTCCAATACGACAATTTCTTTAACGTCACACAAGACACTTCCGCACATCTTTCAGAATCAGCATTCAGCAACTGCCATTAAACTTAATGAACTCAATTTTGCAGACAACAAAAAATATTATTATTTAAGCAATTGTACCGGTGTTAATAATTAATTATTATTATTTTTTTATCCATACAATTTCTATTCTTTGAATTGAAACAAATTAGAATAGTCTATATTCAACAAAATCATTTTATAAGCAGTTAAATTATCAAGATTTCAACCTAAACTCTTTTCAGTATTGCCTGTGAACCTTTTCATTTTTCAAGAAATGTAGAGGTTCTAATATTGCAATAGTTTTTGGACTTTCATCTGATAATGCAAGAGTTTAGCATTACAATGTCAACGATGTCATCATGTGTGTTAATGGTCATTATTTCGGACCTTTCTAGGCAGTTGGCTTCCATTAGGTGACAATGGAGACCTGGTAATGGACTATCAGATATGATCTAATATAGGTTCTGGAACCTGTTTCTACATCTCTAGTTTCTCCATATTACGCCTAGTTGATGGACTTGATGGTCAAGTGACATTGTTTTGAACTCCATTTTAGAATATTCACTGGTTTTACACATGAATGCTCATAATAATTGAATTGTGACGTGTGGATGAGTATTCCGGTGGAGCCAGCTCAGGGGGCAGCTGCGGCCATTCTGGCCCATTATCTCTGTTAATAAAAAAATTCTCAATTTTTTCTTTCTTTTCTTTCTTACTGTATTAGGTTTATAGGATAATGATAACCAAGTACCTTAAAAACAGTGCTAAGCGTAGGCTTTGAAGTTTTCTGTTTTTTTTTCCCTTCACTTAAGATTTTTTTTTTTATTTTTTATTTTATTAATATTTACTTTCTTTAGTTTCTTCTTCCTTAACTCATTAATTGTTCCCTCCTCAAGCTTAAACCAGTAATGAGTTCTACCTAAGAAAAATTTTATGAACCCTTATTTTAAATATAAACAATTTAGACATGAATATGAATAATTATATTTATATTTTTAATAATCCATCATTTTACTATTTCTTTGCTAAAAATGGACACACACAATTGAGTATAAAGAGGATTCATCTAACCCAACTTCATTTATATTTTTAGTATTTGAAATCATAAGGGTAGTTTTGATAAGTAGAATCATTTTCTTTTCCTTTTTATGCTATCCAAACTAACAACTTTCTTGAAAAAAATTCCTACTAACCAAATGCATGCTGGAAACTTGACTTTCCTTTCTTTCACTTCACTTTCTTTCGCTTTCACCTTCCATTATAAATTTCCGTCCTAACCAAACGGACCCATAGAGTTTGGATGATACACAACCCGTTGAAGAGTTCATTGAGAACCTCTCACTATGATTATTGTCCATCTATTTTGATTGGGTATATACAAATGAGGCGGATGAGGGTTTGATTCGGTTAAGAAAGAGTATTGAGGATGGTTAAAATGGTCATTTAATAAAATCAATAAGGTCATTTGTGTCATTTTGCTTCAAATAAGGGCATTTTCAAAATTTAGAATTTATCAAATGATTGACTTAACGGTCTATTAACGAGGGTGGTAAAAGTAATTATGCAAAACCACAAGGGAGGTTGACTACACTTTTTCAAAAGGTTTCAGCCATGGGTAATTTAACCAAACCTCAGGGGAGGTCTGAGTAATTTACCCCATAATATATATATATATATATATATATATATATATATTTGATAAGTAGTAATTGTATAAAAGAAGCGTTCAAAAGGGGAAAGCATCCCTCACAAGAAAAAGGCCAAATAGGGCCTCTATACCCTCAAAGAGTCTAAAAAATCAACTATTTCCTCCATTGATTTACAATTTTTTCCTAAAGCACAACAAAAAAGAGTACTAATAATGGAGAAATTCATATATATATATATATATATATATACATATATCATGATCTTGTGTAGTATGGTCCATGGTAAAGATTATATGCTCAACCAATCAAACTTGAATACATATTAGCAACAGTTCAGTTCAGTTTCGGTTAATAACGGTTCTATAGTTTTTTATGCAGATCATTTTCCTCATAGAACTAGACCAAACTGTGCGGTCTGGTCAGGTTTTACTAGTCCCACCTGTTTTTTGGTCAGCCCTAGACTAAAGGATATATATATATTGTCACTATTCAACATTTTGTTCCTTTTAATAAAAGATCAACATCTATATCACTGCCTTGGGGATTAAATGCAGTATAACAATGAAAGATTTTCACAGGAATGTAAGAAGTGGAATGAACCTGCACAGGTGTAAAGGCCAAACTTGAAGTCAGTCCTGAAGTAGCACCACTGCTTCCATAAGGCTTTTCCTTGAACCTGGAAATAGTACAAAGCTAATGAGATTAAAGTTGCTCCAATTCAGAACAAGTAAAAACAGCTTATAAAATGAGAAGGAAGATTATTCAACTTCACATGGAGAGTGAAAGAAGTGAAACTGTAGTTTGGCTGGTTGTTAAAGGTACAGGAATAAAGAAGTGCAGAACGAAACCTACTTTTTAGCAACTTTGGCAGCAAGTTTGCTCTGACCGATGGATACACGCAATTTTCCACTTCCAGCCTGACCGAGCATTCCATATCCTTCCCCTAACCCGTCACCTATATTTAAATAGAAACACATAATAAACAACAAGGATAGAAAAGAAATGGATTCTGCATTCTAAAGTGACTCTATGTTTTATTACATGGACAGTTGGACTCTTCAAAAGATGTGTAAAAAAACCAATTTCGGACACACACCAATTGGACATGGGTATGCCATGTCTCCAACACCTCTGATTGGATATGCACCACACAAGAATATCCAATAATTTCAAGTTTACTAAGTAATTATAGGAACACAATCTTGCACATACATTTTATTACATTATTGTTTCAAAACGAGTGAAGTGCCTAAAAATAAAAGAAAATGAAATAATATTTAACATTTAGCTATGCCTACGTGTTTTTAGGTTTGAAAATTTGATAAAACTGGCGCTTACAATGGCATACCTACCTAAGCCTATGAACATAGCTTTTAAGATACAAAAAATGTCAGAAACAACAAAGCATGTTTTGTTTAGTTTGTTGATAGCAATTATTAAGAATGTGAAAAACATTTTTCAAAGGACTAAAAGGACTAGTCTCTGAAAATGGATTTTCTAACTCTGCTTTCATATAATATAGTTCTTAAAGAAGCTGTCAACTGAACTTATATTCAAATTATTTCTGTTTTTATTTTCTTTGAAAGCAGAAAATTGAAAATTGAACCAGGCAAACCCTGTAGCCGATTGTTTAAGTTTCTCGTAATATTGAAAGGAACTAACAAGAGAAGATATTCAGTTTAACCCTGGGGAAAAAAAATAAAATAAAGAAGAAGAAGAAGAAGAAGAAAGGAAGAAAAAAAGTATTGAGAAACTATACAGGAAAGGAAAAAATGGCAGAGAAACACTAGTAAATGCTTATAACATAACCATTCATGCAACATATAATGATGCCCTCAAAGCTCTTGCCTATGTCTTCAAAGAACCAAAATTAATTATCCACCTAGCGACATGCAGTAAAAAACATGTAAAAGGTAGATTCACCTAGAGACATGCAGTAAGAAAGATGTAGCAACGTGCAGTAAGAAACATGTAGAAGGTAGATGCAACTAATTAAATTAATAGCTACAACTACTCATAATTCTACATGTTCTGAAGTCCATAAAATTTACCTAAAGAACTCTCTTCAGGAATTCCAAATTGCATCCGATTTGCCAGCTTCCTCATGTCCGTTATTGCATATCTAGAATATAAAAGATTAATTGACACAATAAACTAATAACAACAATTATGAGAAAAAGAGAGAGAGAGAGAGAGAGATTCATGCACAAGTCAAGAGAAACTTACCTCTCTTTCATCTTTCTCAGCCGGCGCCCACCTCTCTTCTTTTTGGGCTCAGAATCAGGAACAGGAAGTGGTTTGGGTTGCTTCGCAGGAGGTGGCTCTTGCCACTTCTCAATTTTCTTACGGATCTCCTCCCGGAAGGATCTTCCAGCCTTCCCAGTTGGATCGCCTCTTGTGGAATCTACACGTGCAGCAAGTGTTGATTTTGCAGCCAGTACTCGGCATGCACGCATCCGCAGAGAAGGGGGCGTGCTCTGAAATAATTCTGTTTGCTCAATATAACCTACACGAAATTGTGATGTCGCAGTGGAAAACCCTGCCAGGTTCTTTTTCTTGGCACCAAGAAGCTGAACATTGCAAGCTGGCATCTTAGCTAATGCTGATAGACCTCCAGCAGTACCCATAAGTTTCGCTGCCACGGCACTCCCAACTATGGCAGAAAGATTGGGAGCAATATAACCCATTCTACTCTCCACAAAATCAAGGACTTTCTTTTTTGCTGAATCAAGAGCAAGAGCCCGATCACATGCATCAACTGTCTTTTGGAGGACTTCCGTTGGAAGTGGCTTGCCGCTAGTAGTTGATGCTGTAACAGAAACAACCATAATGATAGCAGAGGGTAAAAGCCCTTCCAGATCAACAAGGGTTAAATCCATTTCATTCCCAATCTTCTTAACTACTCGAGCGTAATCAATTGGGTGATGAACAAGTGATTCAAGCTCTGGAAATTTCAAGCGATACTTGTCACGTATAAAATTGTGGATAACAACAATTTCATTCTCGATCTCAACTGACAATGCATTGCAATCTACTATCAGCTGGTATTCAGGATCATCTTCCAAAACTATTCCGTGAATCGACATATCAGACCCCTTTTCAAGTGCATCTTCAACTTTCTGCAACACACATTATATCACCATTTTCCCAAAAAAACATAAGTCACATAATAATCACCATATCTACAATTACAAAAGCTTAAAGAATGCAAAAGAAAAGGAAAAGGCAATTTGAATCCTAGGTATTAGAGATATGCAAAACAAACATTTGATATGCCCATCCTCTGCAATTAAATTTGAAATTTTTGGTCAAATAAAAATTTCAGAACAAGGAAAAATATAAGAAACTGAAGCTAAGTTCTGAAAGCAGAAGCACCAAGCTACACAAACACAGTTCACATATCAATTGGGTATTTCAACTTTTTTAGTTCACAACTAGATATAGGGTTTACCATGTAAAAAAAAAAAAAAATGCATTTAAAAGAAAAACCGACCTGCATAATATCGATAAAGCGCTGTGATTTCTGCAATTTCGAAACACTATCAAGGTCATCAAAACTAAGAGCTTCTATGTGCTCGAGGTCCCCAACAGTATCTTCTTCCATGTTCTCTGTATCCACATTATCCTCATTCTGAAAGAAATAAAACTTATCACAACAAAATACAACAACACGATAAAGCAACAAAGTAAACATCTTCATATACCTAACAATACATTCTACGAGAATTAAAAAACTATAAACAAACAAAAATAAATAAAAATGCACTCACAAGAGTATCGGCTTCGTTATCGGATAATTCATCGAGGTCTGCCAGGAAAGAATCAGCAAGAGTTGCCTGAAACAAACATAGCATAATTTGTCAATATGAATACATTTATATGAATATGATATATACTCATTAGACCAAAATCGTGAACACAAACCATCTTCGTAAGCTTCAAGCTTGTTCTGCCCACAAATCTTCGAGCTTGTTCTGCAAAAAAAAAAAAAAAATAATCAGATACATAGAAAAGAAGTTAACTATAAAACTTAATATGTTAATTAAAACTCCATTAGAATTACTGATAAACACCCGAAAATTAAAAATTAAAATATATATCCAAAAGATCAAACCTAGTTTAGGAGTAATTGCAAAAACTAGGGATTTTGCGGAAGCTCTATTTCATATATGGGTACAATTGCAAAATATGATACAGAGACTCTAGGGCATAAGTCTAATTGACGAGTACTGTGAGAGAGATAAATACCTTCAACCTCGTAGGAGAGAGAGATGTTGTATCGCGATTGAGGAACTCTGAGTACAATCTCGGAGGAGAGAAGGAGAGAGATTAAAAATTAATCAAATAAATAAATAAGCGACAACCGACTTGGATGGGCTTGCACAAGGCTCGTAACTTGGGCTGCCAATGCTAATGGACTATGGTCAAGAAAATTGACCCATATCGTCTTTTCCGGGTCAATCCATTATCATCTCACTTAAATGATAAATCTACTCTAATTTGTTTGTTTGTTTGTGTTTTTTTTTTTTTTGGTACAAATAAATTCATGATACAATATACAAAATGAGAATGCAATTACCTGGATAAATTATGTTGCATTATTAATTTAATAATGCTAGAATATTGTATTTCGATGTAATATATTATATGAATATCGTTTCTTCAAAATAAATATTACATTATGAATATTTTTTTGATAAAGTATATGTAACATAATCTGTCGTCGAGTTAGAGTATGGAGAGGACTCTAATTTTGTCACCACCATCATCATTGCCCTCAATCACGCGTTACTAGGTGAGACACATGAATCATTTATTTTCATTGTCTTTCTTTTTCTTTTTTGTATTTTTAAGTGCAAGATTCTGTGCTATATAATATTATTGGTCAAATAATTGTTCTATAAAATCTTACTTTTATTTATTTGTTATTCATTTACCACATTGAACGCCATAGTTTACCTCTATTTTGTCAAAAAAAATTCTATTCTACCATCACCTTCTATATTGTCATTCCTCAATGTTACTAATTCTAAATAGGGGCGAAAATTTGTGCTTTTATGTCGTTACATAATATGAGTATCTTGTTATATCCATGCCAGGTGATAAAGTTTGACACTGTGTGTTATGACAAATTGAGAAATCAAACAACTCCTGATTAAAAATAAAAAAGCAAATGCACCGTCTACTGATAACGGGGCGAAGTTAGAGCGGGTTTGACTAAACCCTTTTTCGTGCCATTAGAAAATCTATCATACGAACTCCGCCCCTACTTCAAAACAGATTTGTAATTATCATACCATCTTCGCCTCTACTCCGATAGACAAAGTATTGACTCTACCCCATGTACTCCCTTTAATTGCGGGATGCAAAAGCGAACCGAATTATGTCACTTTTATTACATAGTAAAAAAAAAAAAACTAACCCAATGTGCTCAAATTGAATTGATAAATAAGTTGGCCCAACTTTTAAATTATAATAATGGATACTTCCAACAAAGTAACAAGTCTTAAAAATATAAATTATATATTTTATATATAAAAATAAAAAAATTTAAAGGTACATATATAATCGGGACAAGTTCATCATTAAATCCGCCCCCACCCCAAACCCGCTTCGAGTTTTCAATTATTTTACCATTCTCATCCCAAATTCATTTAGGGGTCACTAAATCCACTCCATTAGGGGCGGGGGCGGGGCGAAACCCGTCAGGTCAAAACAAATTGCCATCCCTAGCACCATCATCACATCAGATTTTTTTCACAATTCACTATAATTTCAAATTTCAAACGATCCACAAAATCCAAAAGAAGATACATAGATATACAATTCTGCCCCGTTAAAATAAAATAAAAAAAAACGAAGAAGACAATATATTGAATTTGAGAGACCAAATAAAGACCCTTCGCCCTCAAAGGATCTCCTTTCCCAAGCAGATTCTTTACCTATCCTTTATCCTCTATATGCCTTTGTCTATCCATTTCTATATACTTGTATATTAATTCACTCTGTATTTATATTGTTATATGTGAACGTGTTCCGATTTCTGAAAATGTATCTTTGAAAATGTTCCGATTTCTGAAAAGTAAGTGCTTTGAGTTCCGCTTCCAAGCCGACTTGCATGCGCCTGTGGATTTGAGAGCTCCATCCCCTGCAAAGAGAAAATGACATCGTAAATCACTGAATGAAGATAAGTCATCTATAAAGAAAAAAAATCACAACCACAAAACCAAACAGAAAATTTATTAGACTTTTTCATGGCAACAATCAAAAGAGTTTAATTACTACCAAATAAGGTCCTACAATCCTCCTCTTCCACAACTACAATCAAACAAAGAGAGTAATGACCATCAAAAAGTACACGGAACATTCCTCCCCACAACTACAATCAAACAAAGAGAGTAATGACCATCAAAAAGTACACGGAACATTCCTCCCCAATGTATAAGTAGTTACTAGTATCATCTAAAGATACTGCCACCTCTCAGGACAAGGACCATTCACGATAACTGTTTTGATGTCACCCTCAAAATCTGCTTGCAGAAGCCCCCAATGGATTGACCATTTGACAGCTTACCTCAGCATTAAGGCTTCGGCCATGACAGCAGCAGAAGCAAGGCACTGATAAATATAACATCCCTTAGGTTCTTAGTTTAGTAGACTATGGGTTGTCATGCTCTGATTGGTCGGTTTGACAAAGTTAGTTTGGGCATTTAATGCCAACCCACTTGTACTACTAGTTCATATCTGACCATCAAAAGATTTCCTCTTCCTTCCCTTGTGACAGGCGGAGAAGCGCCCCCCGCTCAGCAGCGCGAAGGGCGCCCCCCAACTTCCCTCTAGTGCTCAGCCACCAAGCTAATACCTCTTGAGAGGATTCCTCTTGAGAGTTTCAAGAAAGGGCACATTGGGTCGGAGTTAAAATCATTTCCACCATTATGGAGCTAGCTCATAATGCAACAACTATAGGCTAAAATGTTGTGATGATAAGATATAGTATAGTTCTTAATCTAGCACCTAAAACTATTCACCATTGTGAGTGATCAAGCACTACTGGAATGATGTATGGTTCAGGCGATTTGATGGTGTAGAATAGTGGTTCTTAGTGGCCTTAGAGGTGGACAACCATTGCGGTTTGCTAGTAGGGGTGCACACTGTTCGGTTTGATCCAAGTGGGATGAAACATAACCAAATCGGTTCAAGCAATTCCAGAAATATTAAAACCAAATCAAATCGTTGGAACTTGTGGAACTGAACAGAACCATAGAAAACTAGTTCAGTTTGATTCAATTCTACACTTCTGGGCCTTTTATAATTCAGCCTAAATGACGAGAAGGAGGGGGGGGGGGGGGGGGGGGGGACGTGAAAAGTGTGCCAAAAAGGTTTCAGATAGAGAATCTAGAAATGGGTATACAACAAATATCTCTGTTAATGTAAAAATAAAAAAGAAGAGAAGAGGTGATGATTCGATGATACTTTTGGAGTATAGAGATGAGAATCGGATATTAAAAACAAAGTTTATGAGGAGAACAGAGCAACCATTGGAAGAGAGATGAGGAAGCTAGGGTTTATGTCGCTAAGGCCAGGAATGATCCTGTGTATGTGGTCTATCGGTAAGGTTATATGCTCAACCAAATGATCCTATGGTAACACGAGATACGACTATGGGTCTCGGTGCAAAAAAAATAATAATAATAATAAGCCTTTTATATAAAAAATGTGCAAAAAACACCCCTACAGTTTAGTATATGGATATAAATCCCTAACATTTGAGAATATGTGCAAATTGACCATTAATTTTGGTCAAATGTTTTTATAAAAACAAAAAATACCCTTCATATACCGTTAAAACCTGAAATTAGTGTTTTTTATTTTTATTGTCTCAAGGACATTTTAGGTATTTCAGTCTTCAAATTGACAAAATGTTCTTACTTGCTCAATTTGGAAAATGTTTTCTTGCACTTTACCCAAATACATATATATGTGTGTGTGCATTAGCAATGGTTCAATTCAGTTCCAGTTAATAACGGTTCTTTAGTTTTGGAACCGTAACCCAAACCAGATATTTTTTCTCATCGAGACAGACCAAACCGTATGGTCCAGTACTGTTTACCAGTACTGCCAGTTTGTTGAGCACCCGTAGCCTAAAGGCTCATTTTTTTCACTATTCAATTTTATTTATTTTTTCCTTTTAATAAATGATCAACATTTATATCACTGACTTGGGGATTTAATGCAGCATAACAACAACAAATTTTTACAGGAAGGCAAGAAGTGGAATGGACCTGCACAGGTGTAAAGGCCAAACTTGAAGTCAGTCCTGAGGTAGCACCACTGCTTCCATAATGCTTTTTCTTGAACCTGGAGATAGAACAAAGCTAATGAGATTGAAGTTGCCCCAATCCATAACAAGTAAAAAAGCTTAAAAAATGCAAAGGAAGATCATTCAATTAACACGGAGAGTTAAAGAAGTACAACTGTAATTTGGCTGGATGTTAAAGGAAAAGGATTAAAGAGGTGCAGAAAGAAACCTACTTTTTATCTCCTTTGGCAGCAAGTTTGCTCTGACGAATGGATACACGCAATTTTCCGCTTCCAGGCTGACCAAGCATTCCATATCCTTCCCCCAATCCGTCACCTATTTTTAGAGAGTAACACATAATGAACAATAAGGATAGAGAAGAAATGGATTCTGCATTCTAAAATGGCTCTAAATTATGTTACATCATTACATGGACCTTTTTTCCTAAATATGTTACATTGACTCTTCAAAAGATGTGTAAAAAAACAAAGTCGGACACATGCCAATCAGATGTGGGTATGGCATGTCTCCAACACATCTGATTGGATACCACACAAGAATATCCAATAATTTCAAGTTTATTAAGTAATTATAGGAACACAATCATTTACATTCACTTTGTTACATTATTGTTTCAATACGAGTGATGTGCCTTTACATACAAGAAAAATAAATAATATTAACATCTAGCTATGTCCCCATGTTTTTAGGTTTGAGAATTTGATAAATCTGGCGGTTAAACACATACCCACAATGGCACGCCCGCCTGAGCCTATGAATGTAGGCTTTAAGATACAAAAAATGTCAGAAACAACACAGCATGTTTTGTTTAGTTTGTTGAAAGCAGTTACTAAGAATTTTGAATATGAAAAACTTTTTCAAATAACTAATATGACTAATATCTGAAAATGGATTTTCTAACTCTGCTTTCATATAATAGTTCTTAAAGAAGGTGTCAACTGAACTAATTTTCAAATTGTTTCTGTTTTTATATTATTTGAAAAAAGAAAACTGAAAACTGAACCAAGCAAGCCTGAAGATAGCCAATTGTTTAAGTTTCTCATAACACTGAAAGGAACTAACAAAAGAAGATGTTCAGTTTAATCCTGAAAAAAGGCATTCAGAAAAAAGACAAAGGAAAGGAAAAAAGATGCAGAGAAATACTAGCAAATGCTTATACCATAACTTTTTTGCAACATATAACGATTCCCACAGAGCTCTTGCCTAAGTCTCCAAAGAACCCCAAATCAATTATTACCTAGCGACATGCAGTAAGAAACATGTAAAAGGTAGATGCAACTAATTGAATTAATAGTTACAACTAATCATAATTCTATATGATCTGAAGTCCATAAAATTTACCTAAAGAACTCTCTTCAGGAACTCCAAATTGCATCCGATTTGCCAGCTTCCTCATGTCTGTTATTTCATTCCTAAAATACAAAAGATTAATTGACACACAAATTAATAACAACAATTATGTGTGTGTGGGAGAGAGAGAGATAGAGAGAGAGAGAGAGTTTCCAGAATAAATCAAATAGAGAAACTGCCTTACCTTTCCTTCATCTTTCTCAACCGACGCCCACCTCTCTTCTTTTTGGGCATAAAATCAGGAACAGGAAGAGGCTTTGGTTGCTTGGCAAGAGGTGGCTCTTGCCACTTCTCAATTTTCTTACGGATCTGTTCCCGGAAGGATCTTCCAGTCTTCCCAGTTGGATCACCTCTTGTGGAATCTACACGTGCAGCAAGTGTTGATTTTGTAGCCAGTAGTCGGTAAGCACGCACCCTCAGAGAAGGGGGTGTGCTCTGAAATAGTTCTGTTTGCTCAATATAACCTACACGAAATTGGGATGATGAAGTGGAAAACCCTGCCAGGTTCTTTTTCTTGGCACCAAGAAGTTGAACATTGCAAGCTGGCATCTTAGCTAATGCTGATAGGCCACCAGCAGTACCCATAAGTTTTGCGGCAACATCGCTCCCAACTATGGCAGAAAGATTGGGGGCAATATAACCCATTCTACGCTCCACAAAATCAAGGACTTTCTTTTTTGCTGAATCAAGAGCAAGAGCCCGATCACATGCATCAACTGTCTTTTGGAGGACTTCCTCTGGAAGTGGCTTGCCACTAGTAGTTGATGCAGTAATTGAAACAACCATAATGATAGCAGAGGGTAAAATTCCTTCCAGATCAACAAGGGTTAAATCCATTTCATTCCCAATCTTCTTAACTACTCGAGCGTAATCAATTGGGTGATGAACAAGTGATTCAAGCTCTGGAAATTTCAAGCGATACTTGTCGCGGATAAAATTGTGGATATTAACAATTTCATTCTCAATCTCGACTGACAATGCATTACAATCTACTATCAGCTGGTATTCAGGATCATCTTCCAAAACTATTCCGTGAATCAACATATCAGACCCCTTTTCAAGTGCATCTTCAACTTTCTGCAACACACACCATATCACCATTTTCTCAATACATAATTCACATAATAATCACCATACCTATTACAAAAGAGAAGAAAAGGGAAAAGGCACATTGAATCCTAGGGTACTACAGATATACAAAACAAACATATCAAATGCCCATATCCTCTGCAGTTTAATTTGAAATTTTTGGTCAAAAAAAATTACAAAACAAGGAAAAAATATAAGGAACTGAAGCTCAACAAGCTAGATTGTTGGAAATTGTATCTCAATCCATAACCTAGGTGCCTATTTGTAGAGTTCCAAACTCAATTAATAGAAACCCAACTAGAATATGAATTTGAGACCCAATTTCCAAAATGGACAAACACAGTTCACATATCAATTGGGTATTTGACTTTTTCAGGTTAGTTCACATATAGAAGTACGATTTACCACGTAAAAAACTTGCACTTAAAAGATTAACCAACCTGCATAATATTGATGAAGCGCTGTGTTTTCTGCAATTTCAAAACACTATCAAGATCATCACAATTAAGAGCTTCTATGTCCTCTAGGTCCCCATCAATATCTTCTTCCATGTTCTCTGTATCCACATTATCCTCATTCTGAAAAAAATAAATAAATAAATAAAATACTATCACAACAAAGCATGGCAATATGATGAAGCAACAAACAATAACACTGAACCAGCAAAACAAACACCTTCATATACATAAAATTAAATTCTATCACTCACATGGCACCAAAAATAAAAATCATAAAAAATATTTTTTAAAAAAATATATAAACTCACAAGATTATCGGCTTCGTTATCGGATAAATCATCAAGGTCTGCCAGGAAAGAATCAGCCAGAGTTGCCTGAAGCAAACATAGCATAATTTGTCAATTTGAATACATTATATGAATATGATATACTAATTAGACCACAATTGTGAGTACAAACCATCTTCTTATCTTCAATGTTGTTCTGCCCACAAATCTTCAATCTTGTTCTGCCCTTAAAACAAAATAATCAGAAAATCAGAAATCAATGCAAAAACTAGGGTTTTTTTTCCTTCCAAAAACTAGTTTAGAAGTAAATGCAAAAACTAGGGATTTTGACAAAAGCTCTATTCCATACTTGGTTGCTGAAAAGGAATTGCAAAATATGATACAGAGACTCTAGGGCATAAATTTAATCGACGAGTACGGTGAAATAGATAAATACCTTCTATATATATATATATATATATATATGTACGACTAGCTATTCGAACAATCTCGGAGGAGAGAGAGAAGTAGCTGTTGTATCTCCGGATTGCGGAACTCTCTGAACAATATCGGAGGAGAGACAGACTTATACATGTAAAGGGCGGCAACCGACTTGGATGATTTGGGCTTCCTTGGCTTAATGGACTTGGACCCAGTACAAAATATGAGTCATGGGTTAATTTAAATTACCAAACTGGCCCAAACTCGTTGTTCTTGTCCAAAGTTCCAAACCTGTAAGGGGTTGGTTAAATAAATAGATAATAATTATTAAGATAGTATAATTAAAAATAATTATTTTAAAGGATAATTGTGTAATTATTAAAAAATGACATGTATCACATCATCTTATCTCTAAGGGGTTTAGTTAAATAAATAGATAATTATGGACATCAAGAAACTCAAAGGAAAAAATATATGCATTCATCCACAGTGAACCTTCTTCTCAAAATATTCTGGATTGGCCATGGCAAATAAGTTAAAGAATGTCACCTCATCGGTCAGAAGACGAGCTGAAATGTTATCATCATTTTTTGAAGAATAATTTGTGTTGTTCTTACAGCGGTAAACAATACAACATAAGATTGTACTGTTCTATTCATGAAAAATCTATAAAATTTACTCTGTACATTTGTTACACTTTTCTTTTTTTATTCTCGTACTCAAAATTTATGCGTACAAATGTATAAGCATTTTATTTTTGAAGCAACTATGTTATGGTTATATTCGTTTATATGGAATTGGAGTTTTGAAATTGAAGAAAAATAATTAATAAAATTGAACTAAAATTTTCTCTAATTTCACAAATTATAATTTCAAAACTCCAATTCTATTATCACCACCGTATCACTGCCCCCTTGTTGTGTTAATAACGTTACATATGAATTGTTTTTTTGTTTTGTTTCATTTTTAAAGTGTAAGAGTCTGTATTATATAAAATAATTGATCAATAAATTCTTCCTTTCATTTATTTGTTATTCATTTATAACATTGAACGTAATTAGTTTATCTCTATTTTGTTCAAATTTATCATATTTTACTAATATAGCCTTCTATATTGCCATTTTTTAGTGTTATTATCCTAAATAGGGGTGGCAATTTGTGGGTTTTTTTTTTTTTTTTTTCTCCTTCCGTAGTTACACGATATAGGTATCTTGTTCTAAAGGTCGACAACATGATTATTACTTATATCAAGATTTTTGATACGATTATTAAACATATATCACGGCACAATTTGAATATCATGTTTGAAAAATGAGTTCTATCTAACATTATATGAGAAAACACTTATGGTTTTAGGATTTATCTATTATCTGTCATGCCTCAAAAATTCTAACACAAGAATCCTTGTGTTATATTAAAATCTGGTACGTGACTCACATCATTCATCCACCATAATCCATGATAAATTCAGTAAGAAAACATTTTTTTAAAAAATCCATCAATCCAAAGGAAATCTATTACATCTCCAACTAATTTAAAATTCCACCAACTCAGTGAATTTTATTACAAAGTGTTTACTAAGAAACAATAATAAAATCAATATGTGGAAATTCAAAAAATCTCCTTCTCCCATTGAGCCTCCTTTGCAAGCTAAATCCATGTGCATCTGAAAGTAATAAAGGGGTGAGCTCACAAGCTCTGCAATAAATTGCTAAACACTATCATCTTCAGCAAGTCAACCCTTACTTAAAATCCGTATATATATACATATATAAGTGACCACGAAATATCCACTAATCATTGTCATTCTATAACATTAACTCAAATTGTGACCTTGTAACCCATCTATAATTTAAATTACTAAAATTTCACTTACCTCACATGAGCCCCTACCTCCTCTCAACCAGTTAGCGTTCTATTGCCAATACCTCACATGAGCCCCTGGCTCCACTCCAAATAAATGGTGTGAATTGCATAGTCCCTGACTACCAAAAACACACATGTGGTTGGGTTGTACGTCTACTCACCTACATAGCCCCTGAACACGTCCACATACTAAAGGCACCTTTAGCCCAATGACCATAACAAAAGAGTAATTCACTCCCGTAGACAGTCCTTGACTGCGCTTAACAAACTCATCATTGGGTAAGTCCCTGACTATCACTCCAACTAGTTTAATTGCTTCAATTAAATACTATTACATTTAAATAATTCATACTCATAATATTATGAGTTTATCAAACACCTTAATTAATTAATACCAACATACCAGTATCAACTCATAATCCTAATTACAATAAGTTGTAAACCATTATATAAGCCTATTCTATGGTGGTAAAATTTCCATTCATTCAATCAAAATAAACCATTGTCTTGCACCAATCTGAGACTTATTCCTCTTTATTTTCATCCAATCAATCTGCAAGTCTATACTTAGGATTTCATTGCCACACAAGTACTGAACAAACTAATCTTAAAAGCCCAACACCCATTTGCACAGGTCCATAAAATACATCAATGTAGTTACACTACTCACATCCAACAAATATGTTGATTAAAACAAAATACCATATATGTACGGAAACCAACGACCAGTTGTATGATAATTGAACACCCACCTCTACTTATGTAAATGAATACCTGCTATATATATATATATATATCCACACAAGTACTGAACAAACTAATCTTAAAAGCCTAACACCCATTTGCACAGGTCCATAAAATACATCAATGTAGTCACGCTACTCACATCCAACAAATATGTTGATTAAAACAAAATACCATATATGTACGGAAACCAACGACCAGTTGTATGATAATTGAACACCCACCTCTACTTATGTAAATGGATACCTGCTATATATATATATATCCATCATTTATGTATCTATCATAACATGCGAATTATTTAAAGTATCATTTAGAATCCATAATTCTTTCAATTAAATACTTCCTCTAAAATTAACTATAATCACATGTGCCTAGATCACCTCACCTCATAACTTTGTACGTAATCTCCAACCCACTAATTAAAATAAATTATCATAAATCATGAATAATCATCTAAAATCCAAAACACAAATATACACAGAATTTAAAGCTTTGCCTGTAATTGCAATCGGCTTAAGCTTCTTTGCTTCCCTACGATAAATTTGCCTTATATCCCGATAATAGTAGTGTAGATAAAAAACTAAATACAACTAATTCTAGATATATATATATATATATAACACGTCTCTAAAAAATAAGGTTGTTACATATCTCGAGAGGGTTTCTATAATTATTTAAGGTAAAAAAAAAAACAGGAGGATTCAATATACTGTTAATGAGGGATATTTTGTGCAAAGAGAAAAGGCTTTAATAAATGCCCTTGTAATAAGGTTAAAGGGTATTCCTCAAGGTATAATTAATCGGATTGAAATTTATTATAATAGTAATTAACAGATTTTTTATTTTATTTTTTATTTTATATTATTATTATTATTTTCCTTTTTTTTTTTTTATTTAAATTTAATAGATAAGCATACACTCACACTCAAGCATGGTGAAGTTGATAAGTTCCTTTTTGTTTTTCAGATAATCTTAACAATTCCTTTTGTATACTTAAATTACCTTTATTTTATAAAAATAATAAAAAATAAATAAAGAATTAGTAATAGAATACGATAAAGTTTTCAATTTTTTTTTAATGGGTACTCACATACACTTGTCTCTTTTTGAGACTTGAACTTCTGACCTCCCTTTGAGAAGTAAGAGACTAATACCTTATGCCACTGGCCTTTTGGTAGTTTTCAATTAATTTAGACCTTCCCAACTACTATTATTCATATATAATGAAAAACAACAAAAATAGAAGTCAAATTAATTAAAACTTTGTTAATGGTGGACTCTAATTCTAGCAAACCCAGTAAAAAATGGTTGTTGTCTCCGAATATAGATTAAGTTTTTTTTTTTGAAGAACCAAATATAGATTAAGTTGTTGGGTAAAATAATATCAATAAAGTTGTTGGGTAAAATAAAAACACTAAATAAAAAAAAATAAAAAAAAAGATGCTTTCACAGGAAAATAATAAAATTTCCCTGTTTATATTATAAATTTTCTTACTATCATATATAATTCCCCTAGGATTTCATTCTTTCCAAATACTTAATTTTTTAATTTAGACTTAAAATTTAATGAAACCCTATCTTCTAAACACAAAATAGGATATGATCAGGGTAGCCTTAAATCACTGAACATATATTATAATATAATATAATATTTTATTATATATTAAAGGGTAAAGGGCAAAAATATATATATATATATAAAATTAAATAAATAAAAAAACTTGAACTATTGTTCTTTTGCAAATAACCCTCCAAACTAAAAATGGCCCTATGAACTATTGATGTGTTGCAATTAAGGACAAATCCATTATAAAAGACTATTTTACCATTTTTCAATAAATTTTTATTTCTTATTAAATTATTTTTATTATCTTTTATTTTATCTAATTATTAATTATACTATTTACCTTAATTTTATTATTAGTTTCATTTTATCATAAAAATGAAAAAATAAGAAGATTTGGAACTACCATTTTGTAAAAATCATTAACTTATTATTAAAATTTTATTACTTATAATAAAACTTATTATACCCAGTTTAAATATTGTTACTATAGAATAATACATTTCCTTTCTTATAATATATTGATAAAAAAATAATAAATTACTTAAATAAAAAAACCTTTTTTTCATGTAATATATTCATAAAAAAATTCTTTTTATTTAAACAATTAATTTCAAAAAATAAATGTAAATATATAAAAATTTAATGAAGAATATGTTATCAAATAAGTATGATTTTTTTTTTTCATAATTTATTTCAATAAGAAAAATAGATTATGAGTAATTAAATAAGAAAATGTATTATGGTCATTTAATAAAATATAATATACCATTGGAACACTTTGCAACAAAATATAATAGTTTAAAGGTATTATGCACAAAATAAAGTTCAAAGGATTATTTGTAAATTCAAACATAATTCAGGAATTTTGTTGTACTTTATCCTATATCAAATTGAATTTAAAAAAAAATTTAAAACCGCCAAATTGAACTAAACTACTTTTTTTCATGGTCGGTTGTGATTCGTTTGTATTGATTTTATAGTTCAATTTGAATTAAGTTTCAATTTTTTAAAACCTGTGGAACCTATCTAGTTCTTAAATAAATAAAATTGGTTCAATCCGAAATTTGTGCATCCTAATAAAAAAAAATAAAAAAACCTTTTATTATTATTTTTTTCGAAAGTTGAAAGCAACTTTATTTTGAGAAGTCCAAAATAACTTTGTATTATATATTTATATATTATTCTCACACTATGAGTGGGTCTGACAAAATGAGAAATCCAACAAAGCCCTAATTGAGAGCCCAATAATATCAAAACAATAATTTAACAACCCCTACTTAGAAAGAAAGAAGGAAAGCAAAAGACAGCAACGCGTCTTTACTAAGCAGATTCTTTGTGCGTGATACCTATTCTTTATTCTCTCTCTACGCCTTTATATATCTATATATCTATATATATATATATATATATGAACGAAGAGTGAGATTGTGGCCGCTTATCAGCAACACACACTCACTCACTGTCCGCAGTTTAGGGTTTTAGAGAGAGAGAGAGAGAGACAGAGTTGATGGCCGAAGATTGTGGGGTTTGTTCAGTTCCATCTGCTGATTTGCCCGTGAAGAGGCCGCGAGAGGACGAAGAGAAAGGTGTCTCTGTTTCTGGTGCAATGGAGGACGACAACAACAACAAAGAACCGGAGTACATGTCATCTGTTATTCCCGGGTGGTTCTCTGAGATCAGCCCAATGTGGCCTGGTGGGTTTTTTTGGTACTCTTATCGTATATATCTGTATGTATATCTGTATGTATTGTGGTTTTTTGAGATTGTTCTTTAACTCTGTTTTTCATGTTTATAATGTTTATATTTCATTTTTTTTAAATATGCTTTTATATTCTGTTTTTTTTTTTTTTTTTGTTTTTTTGAAATCTGCCTATGTATGCTCTTTAATCCATGATCAAAGTCTTAATCTTCTGCGTTATGAACCTTTTTTTACGTTTCTTTTCGTGTTCATATCAACATGTTCTGTTTCGTTTTAGGGTTTCTAATGGATGATTTTTCTTATGGTTCTTTTTTTATATTCTTAGTTCTGCCAGAATTTTTTTACCAACTAAATTTTGGGTTGGGAATGCGAAATTTTTAGAGTTCCAGCTAAATTTCCTACTAATTTTATGAGGTCCCTTAAATTTTCAGCAAAACAATCTTGAACCTTGAAAAAGTTAAAACAAAGGGATGTTCAGTTTCTCACCAGTGCAGACTATGCTTTTTTGAAGTTTTCGGTTCAAAATTGATTTTGTTGCCAGGCTGAAGTTACAGAATTGCAGTTGGCAATTACTTTTCATTCTTAGTCAATTTACCTTTTATTTTTTCTTTTGGTTTGTCTTCCATAAATTTAAGAAATAATCAAATGCATTAGCTTTTACCCAACTTATTATTTGAGGAATGAAAGATTGTATTTTTGACAAAAATACATGAATAGTAAGTAAGAAGTTCGGAAGGAAGGTTATAAGAAGTTCGAATAATAAGGAAATGTATGAGAAAAGATATGTAACTGAAGTAGAAGTTTTACTAAAAACAAGAATTAGAAAGACTTTGTTTTTCAAATTCAAAATTTTTATCTGTCCACATCAAAGAATTGAAGAATATTAAATTATAAAAATCCTACAATGGGAACAATATGAAATTTGATTGTGCTTTTTTAAGTGGTGCTGTAAGCAATTGCCTAGTTTTTGAGCTGTCCCTGGTACTGCTTCACATGATTAGGGTCATTATATTTGTAGGAATTAGAGAATACCCATGTGCTTATATGAGTCTGTTGTCAATCAAATGTACTGCTTAAATATTTCTTGTTAGAAACATCTGCAGTTGATATGGACAAGAATCTGCCATGTTTATTCATACTTGTCTAGTTTTTTATTGGAGCAGCAAGATGATCCTTGCATTGGGGATGTTGTAGTGGCACTATGTTAGAAAGCATGTATAGGTGTATGGTTTGTCTGATTTTATTATCTTGGTATCGTGATGCAGCCGACATATTACAATTGGACTTCTGTTCATGTATATGTTAGGCTGATATGACTGTCCTACATATCAAAGCTTGTTAGATGGAGCCTAATGTCACGGGCCTAGAGATTTGGCGCAGCGGCACGGCCCGTGCGGCACCAAGGCGTTGCTTCAGCTCGCGTAAGCGCCCTGGTCAGCCACCACGACCTGCCCTCCCAAGGATACATGCTGACTAGTTTCGGCCTGCCATGGCCTCGTCAGGGGAACGGCTCCAGCTCCCGACCAGTTTGTGCAGGGATGGCCAACTCCCTTCTTCATAGTCAAGTCCACGACCAGCGACAAGCACCTCGAACTGAACCGAGTCGACCTGCCTGAACTCTGAAGAGGTACCATCCTGTGCTCCTGCACGCCCCTTCCCTGGAACCATTCCCAGTCAAACTCTGCTCTTTGCCAACCAGCATGCGTGTCTTCCATCCTCCAAGCGTCTTAGGAATCACTTCGTGACATTCTCCCCCACCCAAATCCTGCGACGTCCTCGTCGCAGTGCGGCGCTTCACTACTGCGTCCACTCCCTTCCAAAGTCTGCCTCCATGCGGTATGCTCGCCTTCCCACCATCGCTTCCTTGTGCAGCTCCCTGCACTGCACTCGCCCAATGATAGGCCTCGGACCAAGGGGACGTCCATTCCTCAAGGACGTGACTCTTCTCCGTCATGCCGCCTCCGCGACATCCCGAGCAAGCAATGGCCTTCTGCCGACTTGATGCTCGCCCTTCACCATGGTTTGCATCACCCAAGGACTAAGCACGAACTTTGGTGCGCGCGGCCCTCCGGCCCTTCAATGCGCAACTTCAACGGACGCCTCTTCCTGGGGAGATGGAGGCTCTCCCCCCCCCCAACTGCATTGATTCCTCCACATCGACGCAACTTCAATGCACCGTCTTCATTCTCTGACCCCTCCCGGACCGACAAGGGGGCACCCCACCGTGCTTTACCCCAAGTCCTGCTCTGATACCATTTGTCACGGGCCTAGAGATTTGGCGCAGCGGCACGGCCCGTGCGGCACCAAGGCGTTGCTTCAGCTCGCGCAAGCGCCCTGATCAGCCACCACGACCTGCCCTCCCAAGGATACATGCTGACTGGTTTCGGCCTGCCATGGCCTCGTCAGGGGAACGACTCCAGCTCCCGACCAGTTTGTGCAGGGATAGCCAACTCCCTTCTTCATAGTCAAGTCCACGACCAGCGACAAGCACCTCGAACTGAACCGAGTCGACCTGCCTGAACTCTGAAGAGGTACCATCCTGTGCTCCTGCACGCCCCTTCCCTGGAACCATTCCCAGTCAAACTCTGCTCTTTGCCAACCAGCATGCGTGTCTTCCATCCTCCAAGCGTCTTAGGAATCACTTCGTGACACTAAGCATGCAACGCAGAATGTAAGGGGTGTGTCTAATAAAGATAAATATTAAATATGTATAGAAAAAAACTAAAATATTCAGCACAAACTAGGAATTTCTCAGTATGTCATTTCAATGGATTAGCTAAATCAATCTGCATATATATATTTTCAGTTTGTATATGATGTTAATTAAATCAATGCACATTTGAATTTTGAAGCAATTCAATACATACAACACAACTAATCAGAATTTGTTTCAAATGCAATTTTTGACATAAACTTGGAGGATCAAGTAAATCATTGAGCATGACTATATATTTTTTCAATATGCATATACATTAACTCAATCAAACACCATTAAAAATTTTCAACAATAAAAGCAATAATCATGTAGATGTTAGTCATGGATTATCTTGAAATTTAGAGTCAAGCACTAGACGTTATTAATGCATGTAGTCAACCATAAGCTCATGAATTCAGTCAAATATACAATACAAAGGTATCATTGCCAATGCCTGAAAAAGAAACCAGATGAGATTATGCATGTGATCTTAAAAAGAGAAGTCGATCCTAATAGTTATTAAATGAAGCAAAAAATCCATGATGCGCAGTAGAGTATGTCAATTTAAGGTATTAAAAAAAAAAAAAAAAAAAAAAAAAAAAAAAAAGACGATACAAATGAATGACTAAAAGTAAGAGGCGCGTTTTCTTGAGTCCGGAACATCTAAAAGCATGAACCAGAGGGCTTTAGTGAGCATGATTGAAGGGGTCTGTTTTGTAGTAGGTTAAGGCACTCTGGTTGAGCCTTGACATTAGGCTTTTTTGGAGCTTGGGCGTGCCTTTAACAACTATATGTTAGATTGGGGTCCTTCACATATTGGATGTAAATATTATAGTAACAAATAATGGTTGGGAGATTTCTACAACATTTTGATTACCTTCCTGTCATGTCATGTATATAGATGCCTCACAATATTTGAAGTGTCCGTGTACCATGGTACTGGCTTTGCAATTTTGGGATATGCCTTTTCGACTTGTGATCTATTAGTCGTAGGTAACATTTTGGGCTATTTCTATTTCTCGAAGACTAGTCAATAAATACGTTTTTTTTCCCCTCTCCTTCCCTCCCCTCTGAGCTAGTCAAGGCCTTGTTTGTGGCAGTGCATGAGGTAATTTCTCCTTTTTTCCCATCTAACTTGTATGTGTGTGAAACATTGAATTTGTGTTGCCAAAAAATTGAAATACCACTGTTTTGTTATGGGATTCTTCTAATGAGACGAGTAGTGAAGAAAGGAATTATTTTTCTAATTTCATTTGGAACAAGACACTTTTAATATGATTACTGCAGCTGAGTCTTAATCTTGTAATATTTATGTTACTGTTTAATACGGTGTTACTTCTGCAGTTGTATGCCCAAATGATATCTATTTTTTTTTTTTTTTTTTGAATTATAGTAGATCTTAGGCAGGCATTTATTGCATTAAGTTATCAGTAAGAAAATTGCTTTAATTTAGTTCATATAAGTTCATATATATATTTATATAGCTGTAGTGGAAATATATACGTATATACATATATATGTGTATATATATATATATATATTCTCACTTCAATTAATACTTCTAAATTTTTGAAAACTTCTGAACTGGTTTCTGATTTCTGTAATATCTGTCCTTTTCCTTAATGTTTTATATGATATGCTACATGAAAGTCGTTTTTAATGAATACAGGAGAAGCACATTCGTTGAAGGTGGAAAAAATCTTATTTCAAGAGAAGTCTGAATACCAGAATGTTATGGTCTTCCAGGTATTTGATGATCCGGAACTTAGAAGTTTGTTTTGCATTCACCTCTACTCTAGTTCTGGCTGTAATTATGTGATGCTGAACATGTGTTACTTTCTCTTTTCTTGTTGTAGTCTTCAACATATGGGAAGGTTCTTGTTTTGGACGGGGTGATTCAACTCACAGAGAGGGATGAATGTGCATATCAAGAAATGATCACTCATCTCCCACTTTGTTCAATTCCCAACCCAAAGAAGGTGTTTACTCTCTTGTAATAATGACCTGTTACACAAATGAAGATCAATAAGAATTATAATATGCTTTTCTGATATTTTTTTACCGAGTTGTTTCAGCACTAGAACAATGATGAACCTATCCAATCCTTCAGTGTCATATTTTGTCTAGTCGATCTTAACTCAAGATATGGACCCCTTAATGGGAGTGCATCTAAGCTGATCTGCATGTTTGAAACATAAGCATGTAGTGAAGAGAAGGGTGAACTGGGGGAATAGCTGAAAGGTTTATTGACATGGAAATGGTTCAATAGATTTGGTGATTGACATGAGGTCCATGAGAGTGAAATCTTCATTAGATTTGGTGCATATAAATCCTGAAATGAGACCTGTGGTTTGTGAGACTTGTGGTTGAGCACCATTTATGCTTTTGGTGTTTCACCATTCCAAAACGAATACAGGACACCTCTCTCTCATGATGAGGCATCTTTCCATGTCAAAGCTTCTTCGTAAAGAAATTGCAAAAACATTATGTGTTATCAACAGTTGCTGGTTTTGATTCCCTCCTCTCTTTCAATGCAGGTTTTGGTTATTGGAGGAGGAGATGGTGGTGTCTTGCGTGAAGTGTCTCGCCATTCTTCCATTGAGCAGATAGATATTTGTGAAATTGATAAGATGGTAGTTGATGTGAGTACTAATTACTTTGTTAGCTTTACTTTTCCTTTTGGCCTTCCTGTAATGCTAGACTTTTTACTCTCAAACTAGCATTGGATGTCATCCCTTGGACAGAAGTTGACGTTCTTATACATGTTTGGAGAACATTATGAATTTGGCTTCCAGCTGAATCAAAATGACTTCAAGACGGGCTCCTTTGATTTTGAACTTTTGAAAATACGTATTTGATTAGTTTGGATGTAATTTTGGCATAACACGTAAATTTGTTTCTCGTCTTCCAGGTTTCTAAACAATTCTTTCCTGATGTAGCTGTTGGGTATGACGATCCACGAGTGTCACTTCATATCGGTGATGGTACGAGTGTCACATTTTCTTTTCTTCTCTAGCCTTCTTATTTCTCCTGTGAATTCATGCCTTTTGGGTTCTTTATCAAACTCGCAGGAGTTGCCTTTTTGAAAGCTGTCACTGCAGGAAGTTATGATGCCGTCATAGTGGATTCTTCTGACCCGATAGGTGATAATAAATTTTCTGCAAGTGATTGCTTTGTTATTGCATTCATCAGAAACGTTCTTCTTGTAAGTTGCTTAGTCAATTCTGTATATCAATCAGGTCCTGCACAAGAACTTTTTGAAAAGCCTTTCTTCGAGTCAGTAGCAAAGGCTCTCCGTCCTGGAGGGGTTGTGTGTACTCAGGCTGAGAGCATATGGCTTCACATGCACATAATTGAAGACATTGTTGTAAACTGCCGCCAGATATTCAAAGGCTCTGTCAACTATGCATGGACTACAGTTCCCACATACCCAAGGCATGCACTTTGATATCTCTCTCTCTCTCTTCCTGTTAAAATTTGTGTGTGAGCATGTGGGGGCACATCCAATGGACAAATGGTAAAAAGGCATACAAATGGTGTATACATATATAATCAAAGGGGTGGTTATGGCCTTTTAATGTGCTGAAGTAATCTAATAAGGGGGTGTTTGCATATATAATCTAGGGTTATTCATATCATCTGTCCTAGATTACAAGGCTTAGACTCTTCTGCTTGTTATTCATTGAAATGACATTTGCCTATATTTATGCAAGAAGTGTTAACTGTCTTCATATTACTGGTCGATATATTTCAGTGGTGTAATTGGTTTCATGCTTTGCTCAACTGAGGGGCCATCGGTTGATTTCAAGCATCCAGTCAACCCGATAGATGCCGATGACTGCCATTGCAAATCAAAAGGACCGTTGAGATTCTACAACTCAGAGGTGTGGTTCTTCTCCATCAGATTAATTCTCATAAACTCTTCCACATGGTTTTTGTTTCCTTTTCCTTTTTCCTTTTTTGTTTTAATTATTTTGTTTCCGTTTTCCTTTCCAGATTCATTCAGCAGCTTTCTGTTTGCCATCTTTCGCCAAGAAGGTGATTGATTCCAAAGCTAAATGAGGAAAAGTTTTTGGAGCACCTAAAAAGGGGCGGCATTTTAGAGTTCCGGCTCTCATCCACACTAATGGTCCATTCAGTTACAGACCACAGAATAAGATGAGGTTTGAATTGATTTCCTTTGTAGGAACGCAATGGGAAGAATTGTATGATTATTGATTAGCTTATCGATCAATGTCTTTCTCATAACTCGTACTTGAATGACATTGGCAGTTAATTTATTACAAATAGCAGTTTTATATATGATACATTTGTCAACAGTGTTAAATTGGTTGTAGTTGCTCTGGCTTTTATGTTTGCAACTATCGCCTGAATTTTTGAGATTTTAAACTCTAATGAACTTGAAAATCTTATGGTCATTTTTGAGGAAATACAGCTTTAGAGAGCAGAAGAAACAAAATTTAAGTACCACAGTCTCAGTTGTTAAAAGAACGTGGTGATAGAAAAATCTGGAGACTTTGCTGGAGTTCTCATCCAACGTTGTTGTTATGTATTATTAGTTTTGCCCTTCTTATTTTTTATTACTATTAGTTATGTCACTTTCAATGCATAATATTCTTCTAATGTTATAAATTGTAGTAATATACGTATCCTTGATGCATCACTCTAAAAACTTTTTCTTTATTTTGGAATTACACTTTGTAGCCTTTGCACCACTCAACATTGAACTTAAATACTCACTGATTAAGCTTCTTCTCTCTGTTGCCCCATTTTGTGTGTTTTTAATAATAATAATAATTATTATTATTATTTTTGAATAATAGGTTGTCATTGGTCTTTCTATGCAATAAAATACTGGGTAAAGTGCAAAAAACCCTGAACTTTACTCTCCCCCAAGAAACCCCTGAACCTCTATTTTGACAGAAAATCCCCTAAACTGTTTATGTGTTTTTGCCAAAAAAACCAGACCACACGGTTCGGCTTGATTTTGACGGTAAGATATGCATTGTAATTTCAAAATGACAATTTTGCCCTTATTACTGATGATATGTAATGAATTCAATAAAACTTCCCAACTTCATTCTTCTTAACCCCAACTTCCATTCCCAGTAGCTTCATTCCATACCAAATCGGCATGTCTCTTTGTGGAGCTCTCATTCCCTAGTTATTGGCAGTAGTTAAGGCCATGTTTGGTACTAAAATAATTAGAGAAAGAACCTTCCACTTAAGGGCAATTTGGTAATCTTACATCATAACTCTAGAGAATTTTTGATCCATTCTGAATAAGCCCATCCAGACTGCCAATGTCATCGTCCACTGTGCGTGGCAGCTGCGTGACATAACGTTCCAAAGTGGGTCTGTCTGTAGCATTCATTTATGTGATAATTACTCTTAAATTTAGAGATGCACCATTTGACCAATTTGATCAAAAGAACTAACAGTAGACCAGTCCCTCCATTTCCACACTAAAAGAAGAGATCATGAATGTAATACGCAGCTGACATACAATTGTGACATATAGAAGTAAGCACCAGACCTTGCATTTGATGTACAACACCATGTAGATGGAGTGTCAGCCTCAATAGTTTTAAACCAGTAAAATCCACCTTTCATTCTTTCATCTCGGATTAACCATGTTAAGAGAAATGGTAATGAGGTTGCTCATAAAGTGGCCAACTAATAAACAAAACACGAACATAACAAAAATATAATAGAACCAAATATACAGCAAACCAGACTACTCCAAAGAAACTTAATATTAAATTAAGACATGACCATCGTCATGAGAATCAGAGCTTAAACAGTTTCTGTTGAAGGAGATCATCCAGCATTAGCCAACATTGCAATTTTCGTTGCGAAAGACTACTGAAGTAAAAGAATCAGTCACTTGCGCCTCCATCCCACTTGATGAAACCGAATTTGCACCGACCAAACTACTTGACGGACTCAAAGTAGCCATCTGACTCACGGCACCACCCGTCACTCCCTTAAGCCTTTTATCCCCCACAAGCTGAGCCGCAGAAGAACCACCAGATACTATTTGTCGACGTTTGCGGCCTTTCCTAACTTGAGTAGATCCCCGACTATTAGAAGTGGCCAACGAAGATTGAGTCCCTGTACCCCTATTAGACTTCGCCTTTCCTTTCTTCCCGCATTCGCCATTTGGTCTCAACGCTTGGTAAAATCCTCCCCTTAATGGGAGAGGTAACCGGAGCATAGTTCACATTTTCCTCCAATTGCATCGATGCCACATGACTTTGTGATGAAGACCCCGGAAGTAAACCCCCTTCAGGCACAGAAAATTGTTCCCCACCAGGATTAAAATCAACCACCATTCCTTTGCCGTGGTTATCCACAACAGGCAAAGTTTGTATTTCAATAGCTCTTGTGGACCCCTCCCCTTGACCATCTCCTCCAGGAATCCTATTCGGATCACCAACACTTGACAAAGCGAGCGGCTGATTAATGGAAGGTCTTCCCAAAGGTCTCCCAAAAATCCCACGTGAATCACTAGGCCAGTCAGGAAATTGACGAGCCAATGAGGAAGTAGGAGGATGACCCATATCCTCCGCCCCATCAGATTCAGTATCATCCACATATAGCCATTTTTTGGTTAAGTTATCACCCTTAACCATCACCCACTTCTTTCTCCGGTTGCCACAGCCAACCCTTCAACCCCTAGCCAACCCCATACTCCTTAAAGTCCAGCAAAGAAGATGTCCAATAATACCACACAGAAAACAAAAATATGTAGTTTTTCATACCTGACTTGAGCACTAGAGGCCATTCCAGCCGGACTAGTTAAAACAACATGACGCCGAGGAGGCTGCAAAATGTCCAACATACTCTTTTCGGACTAGGTTGTGATTGGAACGTTTCATTTTTTTTGGAAAAAGGTCCATAACCATATCGCTTTGTTTGGAATCGATTATTCTAGGATTTGGAAAAGGAATTTGAATTGGAATAGGAATTGGAATTAAAATGAAATTCTATTTATATGTTCGGAACAAATTGGATTTAAAATGGGATTTTGAATAAAAATAATATAATATCATTTTTGCCCTTGTTTAAATAATAAATGAAATATTTATTTTATTGTAAAATATACTCCAAAGTTACATCAAGAAAATCAAGAAAACAAACAATGGGAATGATTACGTGATGGAACTCTGAAATATGAAATTTATTATTATTTTTTTAAAAAAAAGAACAATTATTAAAGATAATATTGGCAATATGGGCTTATATGTGTGTGTGTATGTATATAAATAACTTATCTGTGTGAATTCTGAAGAATTAGATAATACGACTTTGGTACACAAATACTAAAGTATTGGATTCCATGACTTTTGTTACAAAAAAAAAGAGTAAAAAAAAATTATTGGATATGCTCAACAGTGAGAGGAAAATATATATACAGATTAAAACAATGGTATTATTATATAGAGAAAATGAAGGAAAACACTAGAGATTGAGATATGGTGGTAGATATTTAATAAGATATGGTTTAATAAGACGAATGGTTTAATAACAAGAAGAGGTTGGAGGGTTAATTAAAGAAATATATAATTAATGATTATTTATCCAGTCAAATCCTGACTTTTTAGATGAATTTGAAATAATTTACAATTAAAAATGTATTTGAAATCCTATAAATATCAAATCTCATTTGTAATTCTTGGTTTTAAACGAGACAAATTCTGTTTTCAAATCTAAATCCCATCAAATCCAGCATCCCAAGCTAAGAAAGGAACCATACAATTTTTTAAAAAATTATTATTAAATTAGATAAGATATAAAATATACTTTTAAAATTATTATTAAATTAGATAAGATATAAAATATACTTTTATGTGAAGTCAAACACTAATTACTAATTTAATAATAATTAGTAAACATAGAGAAGGAAACATACCTGTTTTGGTAACTAAACATAGGGAAAGAAACATAGCTTTTTGGGAAAGGAAAGAAACGATTATTTAAACTAACATATAAGTACTGGTTTTAGGTGTAGTTTTGTTTATTTCCAAAGAAGCAAGCAATAACGAAAGAAGTAAGAAAACAGTGGCTATGGCTCAAGCAAGCAATAACGAAAGAAGCAAGAAAACAGTGGCTATGGATCTGGATCCTGAGGATTTGGCGTTGAAGCAGAAATTAGAATTGTACGTCGAAAGGGTTCAGGACTCTGATCCGGAGATACAGAGGATGACACTTGAATATATGAGGTATGTAAATTTAATTTAAATGATTGTGTTTTTTTTTATCCCCATTATTATTATTATTATTATTATTAATTTTTTTTTTTTTATCCCCATTAATTTTTTTTTTTTGAACAAAGCGCATCAGCAGATAATGACCAATAAAAGAAAAAAAAAAAAATTAAATATAACCATGGTTAGATGTTACTCCCCTTCTCATCACCCTTCTCACCACCACATCCCAGCCTCCTACCACCGCCCCAACCATGCCCAAAAATTGAGAGCTAGATCCAAAAATTGACTTGGTGGAGGAGGTTCTGATTTTGGGCTTCAATAGGGTCGGTGGGGAAGAGGTGGTTGACGATCGGGTATGTATTACCAACGGCGACAGACTGTGTTAATCGGCGAGGAAAGAGCAGTACCACCGGCGCAAGCACTGGACGGCGATGAGATGTGCCGGTGCTCTTACTCGGCCGACGCCGTTTTGATGCCGACGACGGTGCTCTGTGTGTTAGAGAGGTTTTGGGCATGGTTGGGGCGGTGGTAGGAGGCTGGAATGTGGTGGTGAGGAGGGTCGTAAGATTAAACCATGGTTAATGTAATTTTTTTTTTTTATTTTACACATGGCATTCTCTTATTGGCTCTTATTGGTCCATGTCAGCATCAACTCTGCTTTTGCGCAAGCTTTGTCCTTATTTTTTTCTTTTTGTTTCTATAATAGTTTGTGTTGATAAAATTAAGGTGCACACTACTACTACCTTTATTTTTTGATTTTATAAAAATAATATACAAGATTTTGTCACAACAATTTTTTTTTTTTTTGGTATTTTTTTTTTTGAAAATTTCAACCATACCAGTTTATTCAAATAACGTGCATATTTAGACTGAGATCTCCTAGATAACATTTTTTTCCCTTTACAGACAGGAAATTCTTAATGCAACAAGCTCAATGGCTTCAGTTCCGAAGCCATTGAAGTTTTTGGGTCCTTATTATGGAACCCTTAAAGCTTTTTTTGAAACGATGGCAGATTCATATTTGAAGGTATATACTGTTCATATATATAGGCTTCTATACGCTACCATTGGCCTCCAATTATAACCCATCTGATTAAATTCTTATT